TCTCTAGTAAGATAAGACCATGTGGAAATACTTAGATTAACAGAAACGTGGTTAATATTTAAGACAGATCTAGCCAATAAGAAACTAGTAATTGGCCAACAAAATTATATCTAATGCAGCATCTCTTTTATGTTATTTGGGGCTGGCACCACGGTGGGACCAGACCGGCAGGGAAAAATTACTCATAACAAAAACTCATGTATATGCTGCTTATATCAGATCAGAAAAGAGATTGAAAAGGTATTTCATAAAAATGCTACCAGAAAAAGAAAAAAATCAGGACTATTCATAGTGTGCACACTTGCAATCCCAACACTTAGGAGGCTGAGATGGAGGATCTCCAATTCAAGGCCAACCTATACTCTCCAGCAAGATCCTGTCTCAAACAGGGAAACACATACCTTAAATATATTTCCTGTTTATGTACATTTTCTAAAAGGTGTATTTTAATTCAAAAGTGAATAAGGTTGGAGGAGATGAGAGACATTTTAATCAAGTCAGTCCCTGTACATTGTTGTATGTGCTCACCACAAGTGTGGGCACAGGCTGGTGGACGAGCAGGTAGGCGTGTCAGAACACTCTCAACACAGGAATACAAATCATGAAGGCCTGGATCAGTTAGATAGTAGATATGAGCAAAGGAATGTGTCCAGAAGGTCCATCAGTGGCTGGTGTGGGAACTGCCACTTCCTCAGCATGGATGTCTAAGAGACTAGCTTCCCAAGGGTTGAGAGAGAATGAGCCAAAGAAGCGTTCATGCCATTGAAAAGCTAGAATGAGTAGGGAGCACAGTTGGGGAGGCCCAGGCTCCTAAGCCTGCAGCCAAGCACATACACTCCTGAAGCCAATGTGGGGTGCAGCCTGTGACTGGGAAGGTGAACCCAGAGAAGAGGTGAGAAGACTGAGAACCAGGGGCGGTGGAGTAAACTTTGATTTCCTAAGCTCGTGTTTTATGCCAGTCCTATACTCTCTCCTTTAATCTTGATAAGCTGGTAATTCTGTTGTAGCCTTTTTTCATTTTATTTATTCCTCTCTCTTACAGTACATCCTGACTTCAGTCTCCCCTCCCTCCTCTCCTCCAGGACACCTCCCCCCATCCACTGCTCTTTCATTTCCTTTCAAAAAGCAGCAGGTCTCCCTGTGGCATCAACCAAATACTACATAAGATACAGTAAGACTGGGCACAGACCCTCCTATCAAGGCTGGGCCAGCCAAACCAGTAGGAGGAAAAGGGTCTCAAGAGCAGGCAAAAGAGTCAGAGACAGCCCCACTCCCACTGATAGGAGTCCCACAAAAACACTAAGCATGTTTGCAGAGGACCATGTGCAGACAGACCCACGCAGGCTCTGTAGCTGCTGCTTCAGGCTGTGTGAGCTCTGCTTAGTTGATTCTGTGGGCTGTGTTCTTATGGTGTCCTTGGCCCCTCCGGCTCCTACAATCCTTTCTTCCTCCCCCCCCCCCGTGGGCCCCCCACCCATTTCTGTGGGGTTCCCTGAGCTCTGCCTAATGTTTGCCTGTGGGTCTCTGCATCTGCTCCCATCAGCTGCTGGAGGAAACCCCTGTAATAATTATTGGCTAGGCACCAATCCATGAGTACAGCAGAATATCATTAGGAATCATTCATTGTTTGTTTGCCAGTTGTGTTTGGCTCTAAGTCTCAGCCATCCAGCTTCCAGTTCTTGGCCCTCCACAGTATAGAACACGAGCTCCCTCTCCTGGTTTGGGCCTCAGGTTAGACCAGTCGTTGGACTTCCACATACTCTGAGCCGCCACTACTCCAGTATATCTTGCAAGTAGGACAGGTGCAGGTGAAAGGTTTTGTGGCTGGGGTGTTGTCTCAGCCCTGCCACTGGAAGTTGCTGGTTACAGGAGATGACCGGTTCAGGCTCTGTATCCTCCATTACTAGGAGTCTTAGATAGGGTCACCCTCAGAGGTCCCAGAAAGTCTCTATTGCTCTAAGTTTCCACATCATCCCCTAACTGTCCCCCTATTCCAGTCGTCTTTCCCCATACTCTCCCTCCATCCCTCAATCCCCAACTGGAGGTGGTATTCCCAAAGAATTCCCAAAGCTGGTAATCCTTAAGGGTACACCCTCCCTCCATCTGTCCTTCCCTCTCTTTCGTGTGTGTGGGGGGGGGTACTAATTTGCAATTTAGAGGCAGAGACAGGATCAAAACCACCTCTGTGTCTTAAGCCCAAACTCTTGACTCTTCTTTCAGAGGCTGGAAACCCTGTGTCTGTCTGTCTCTTCAGGGCATGTGTACACAAAAGATCAAGAGCCTGCTTAGGATCTCTCCATGGCCTTGAAGCAGTTTGGTGTCCTGTGTGAGAGAAAAGTGCTGCTGGCCAGGGCCACCAAGTCTCTAGCTTGCTGGCTTGTCCTCCCTTTGCCCTGGAAGGGCTAGTCAAGCTCCTGGAGACTTTGCTTCCAGCTCTTGCTAACTTTGTTTTTAGTGGAAACTCCTGGCTTTTTACCAGCAGAGACTTGTCTTCCCAGGGTTCTTTGTCCCTGAATTACAGCATTCAGATGAAACGCAGGGTCCCACGGGACAAGTTTGAATTCCCACCAACAGAGGCCTCCCCACCATTATTTCTTTCATGACCTTTACTCAAGGTTTAAAAAGCAGCTGGAATCTCCTTCCTTCTTCTCAGTCCCCTGGCAGCATGTGAGCAAGCTGTCCTTTGACCCAGGGTGTCTGGTGGGTCTTCCTGCTGGCACATCACTCCCTTTACCCTGCTGATAGCACAGCAGCACCATAAAGCACCCACCAACACGGGAGAAAGGAGAAGCACTTGCTGTGGCTGCAGGGAAAAGGTGTTTGACTACGCTGTTATATGACCTAGAACCTTCACAAATAGGTCATACTCTACTTCCCAGAGCCTCTGCCCTGCTGCAGAGTTCACCTCCACACAATGGGGTATCCCGTGTCTCAGTCAGCCCTCCCATGTACAGAAGGCAAGGACTTTGTCTCATTTACTCCTGACTGGGACAAGTTACATAAAAGTCCGTTTATCTATGGACATATTCATATATGTATTGATTTACTAATATAATTTGAAAGTGTCTCCATATTAAGTTATTAATTAATTGTTTAGATCTACCTTTTTTTTAACAGTGTCTAGGATTAGTGTGTGTGTGTTATGTCACATTATATATACTTAGTCCTGTTAATATTTATTGACAGTCTGTTTCCAGGGTTTTTATTGTAACAGTAACCCTATACATCTTGGTACATCAGCATTAATATTTACAGAGTGCATACTTTGCACTTGAAGGAATGTAATGTAAAAGTATGTGGGTGGTTAATACTTTGATAGTGCTTTTTAAACAGGAGACATTAGGTGAATGCAAATGGTGAAGAGGGAGCTGGGCATGGTGGCCCACGCCTTTAACCTCAGCACTGAGGAGGCAGAGGCAGGCAGACCTCTGAGTTTGAGTCCAGCCAGGGCTACACAGAGAAACCCTGTCTTGAGAAACAGCAACAACAAAAATTAAAACAATAATAATAATGGGGAGAATAGAAGTGGTAAGCATGAAGTGGCTCGCTCTGGCCCCAGCTGGAAGTTTCTAGACCTTCCTCTTGTGAGCCTCAACGCCTTGATGAGACTTGGCCTGCTTCTAGGAGAAAAACTGATTTCAAGAGCCATTCAGGCCAGCAGAGCCTTTGGCTTCGGCCTGAGGTTCTTTGGCAGGGTTGAGGTTTTGGGTCTGTGAGTGTCAAGGACACAACAGGCTTCCTTACAGTCCCACTAGCTTTCATCCCAAACACCAGGCTTGTTACTTCAGCCTTTGCATAGGCAGCTTTGCCCTGCCAAATGTGGACGGCTCTATTTATCCAGAGAGCAGGGTCCCTCTGACAGCTCTGGATTTCTCCACAAGTGGGTACTCTCCTCCTACCAGCTGTGATTAGGGACCTTTCATGGCTTGAGTCAGTCTGTTCCTCTCTTAGCACTTTGGTGTGGGGTAAATCTCACACAAGCAGCACTTCTGGTGATTGTTTTACTTGTGGAATGTTGCCGAGAGCTTCAGGGGATGCCTGTAGCAGTGAGACTTTATTTCTTCCGTTCTAGACAGTGAGCCCAGACAACTCAGGCACAGGTGCAAATCCGGTGAGTCCTTTGCCAGCCAAGGTTGAGCAGGTTGTCGCTGTCTCTTCCAGAGTTGTGTACACAGCCAGCATCCTTTCTCAGTACCTCCTCCCATGTCTTCACAGTTCTTGGGGCTGCTTTTCTAAGCCAGCTCTGCTTAGTCTCCCCTGGCTCTTCCTTTCCTATAGACCCCTTGACCAGTATTCACGCCCCCCCAACCCCCACCCCCCACCCCCCATGCAATTTGGTTCATGTTCACCTGCAGCAGGCTTTCTTGTTATCTACTCCTAGTGAGGCAAACTAAATTATTCCAAACACACAGCCATGTTTCTGTTGCTGCACCTGTGAGCTCCTGAAGCTGTTGTCTGCTCAGTGTCTTCTCTCTGGTCTTTCAGCAAGCTCTTACTCAGCTTGGCTACTTCATTTCCATTAAGGAAGCCTGTCCCAACTACTGCTTCTAGCCTCAGATTGGTCTCTTTTCTAGCATTTTCCATCCTGTACAGTTACATAGCTCTCCTTTGTCTCCTAGATAGCTAACTTTACATTTGTATCCCCAGTGTGTGGCTTGACTTGGAGTAAGTGGGTGGATTGTCTTCAGACAGAACATATGCTAGAGATAGAAGCAACTACATCATTCTTTGTTGTTTCTAGTAATTACCCAAGTGAGCTTTGTCACAAGGGGAAATGCAGGTTTGCACACACGGTGATAAGTTCTGAAGAGTCCATGCTGACAGACACCAGCACTGGCTCTCTATAACCTTCACTGAGCAATATATGTTCTCCTGTGCTAACAAAGTATTTTTAGCTTAGCAATCAATGTAAGTAACATGTGGACTGGCAACCCAACTTGTGTATGTACTTTGCTTTGCTGTTGGTTTGAGAAACCACTGATGTCTGTCTATTCTTCCAGTTAAACGCTTCAGAGAACCAAAGCATGAAAGACGCCCATGGAGGATATGGTATGTACTGAAGTGCTGACCCATCCCTAGGTAGCTTTTGCTGTGTTGGGGTTTGGTTTGGGGACTGACCGCAGATGGGTCTGGATTAGGAGAAATTACATATTCTATAAAATATGTGGAATTTTTCATTTGAGTTAATTAGTAGGCATGCTTTATAATATGAAAGCAGTCCTATTTTTTTTTTACCCCCTCCTTTTATTTACAATGTTTCTCTTGGTACTACAAGATGGAAGTCAGTACAAACTCAACAGCCTCTGCTGTGTGCCTCTTCATATTGACTTGCTATGAGATTATGCTTACATTCTTGACTTCTACAGTCTGTATGTGTAAGCAAATACAAATTTATTTGGAGATTAGTCTGCATCCTTAGAATACCCCCTACCGAATATGACTCAGAACTCAAGGAAATAGTATTTACATTTCCTGGTTTATTATGAAGGACACAGACTAGACGGAGAGGTTCAGTGATCTGGGATGTTCCAGAGCACAGTTCTGGGACTTTGGCTTTAAGAGTACACTATCCTTTCTGTACCACTTCCAGAATACTCCAGGCCCCATGTTTTAAGATCACTAGACTTGTCTGACTGACTTGTCTTTTCTCTGGAGTATTGTGGGTTTTGGTTTAATCATGTCTTAGTCTTTCAGGGCTTTCCCCATCCTAAAGCTCTCTAGGAACTAGTCAACTTTTTAGAACAAAAGATGCTCTCATCACCCAGGACAGCCCAAAGGACTGGGAGTTCTGTGAAGGGACCTGGGACCAAAACCAAGTATTAGTACAAAAGACATTCCTCACACCTCCAGCACGTGGGAAGTTACAGGGAGTTTGGGACTCTGGGTCAGGGGTGGAAATCAAGTGTTTAGTGTAGATACATGAATATCAAACATACTCATTTTGTGTAGGATGACCCTGCAGTAGCAGCTGTGTGTTCATTATGTGGTGGTAAAGCTTCAGAAATAGATTCCAAGGACGAAACTCCCAAACAGTAAGTCATTTTGAAGGAGACAGGCAGGCTTCGGGTAATAGTGTGGGCCACACTAAACTTACTCCTGCCCTAAGGAAACATCCACTCTCCTTCAGAAGAAACGTCATTATCATGTCAATTAAAGTTGTCAGGCATGTAAAAAACAATACTCCCACATGTTGAGAACTCTCATTTGTACTCACTCGGTCATTGATTCTCCCAAATCTGGGCATTTAGCCCTGCTCTCCTAGTTAGTAAGGAACACCTCGAAGACTAGATCTGAGGTCCTCCGCATCTTAAGCACGGTATCTTTCGATGTCTGTCTCTTCCTTCCCTGGGTTTAGAGATTATTTTCAAGCTTGGTCAGGGTGATTGGTCTGGTGGTTGTTTTCTCCAAAGTGGTTGCCGCTGTCCTATGACGTTGGTAACATTTGCTGGTTCTGTTTTATGCAGGTTTTTAGACACTTCCAAACAAGCCATAGGGATGCTGTTCATTCACTTTGCAAATGTGTACCTAGCAGATCTCACTGAAGAGGACCCTTGTTCACTGTGAGTCTTGTATTTTACTTTGACCTCAGTTGAAAATATGGACTGGCCTTCCCTCCCTTACTAGTGCAGCCCTCTTGCTTGGGGGAGGCACCCATCCCTTCCCTTCTGGATTCCTCTCTAGTTTCATTCTATGCATGCCTTCATGAGTTTATATACTCAGCTTTTGGTTGGCTCTCGGGACTTTGACGGTTACTTTGTGTGTTGGCTTTCTGCTAATCAGTCCAAGTTCAGTCCTTTGTCTTTCTGGTGTCCTAGGAGTTCCATGTTCCCAGCACCCCACCCAAAGCAGGACAGGATAACACTGCAAAAGCATCTCTGCCAGTTACAGGGCACATAGGCTTTTTGATGTGCTGAGATGCTCACAGGCAGTTGTTGAGCGTTACTGACCTCTGACCTGAGCATCCACTGTTCTGACTGTCAGTGTGCACTGCTTTTCACTTGACGCCCAGAGCAATGCCTTAACCATGCCTTAAGATGTTGTGCTTCTTACTGGTCAGGGGAGTGGCCATTCCCCTAGCAAACAGAAAGATAGAGGTTTTACCCCAACCCCAACTCTTACTTCCTGTCTCCAACTTCAAGTTGGAGGCACAAAAAGATTATAGTACTTAAAGTTCACACACTGCAGAGGTGGTGGGGCTAGACTTAAACCAGCATGCACCCAAGTCCCCATGATGCTCTGATGCCTGAATGGAGCCCCTGTGTTGAATACAGAGTGTAAAAATTTGGTCTTAGTTTCCAAGGATAGCACACAGTGGGCTCAGAAAGTATTTGGCAAGTTTATAAATACAAGACTGGATATATCATTGTCCTTGATATTTCTCAGGCTTTCTCAGATGTGTAAATGCAGGTGTGAATAGCATTCCTCATCAATTAGATGTGAAGTGTCAGAGGACTAGCCTCCTGCCAGAGTACAAGTTGCCATGGAAGCAGTGACAGTTCTTCCTGACTCTGGTCTGAGAGTGACCTCTTGTGTCTTTAATTGGGAAAAGCAAGCTGCCTGCCTCCCTCTCTGTGTTTTGGTTCTAGGGACCCAGTAGCACAGTAGGCTGCCCCCATATTGGAGCCTTGTGCATTTCACAAAGCCCAGACTGGGGCAGAGGTCTGCTAGTCTATATATAAAGTGTCCCAGGCTCTAGCAACATGGAAGCTCCTTGAAGCTGAGTTGTCCTTGAGCTTATCTATAGGGAGTTCAGAACCATGTGGTATCTTAGGTCAGGACCTGCCTCAGTGGTCTCTTTCCCACTTAGTCTGCCCTAGATAGCTGGATCCTGTCCAGCAGTGCTCAGTTAGATCTGGGTATAGGGCCTCTGAGGGAGGACAGGTAAACACAGTGCTTTCCATTAGTCAGAAAAAGGGTTTGTGACAGGAAAATGGAAACAAACCTTATAGGAATGTGTGGTCACTGTGGCGTGCCTCCCCACCTGCTTCCTCCAATACTCTGGCCTTTTCTCACGGTCGCAGAGGGCTCTCTGAAATATGAAGGTCGAGGCTGGGAGTGAGGCTGTGATGAAGTATTTCTCTAGCCTATATAGGAGCTGGACTCCCATTTGCACACACAATCACAGGTAGGGAGGAGCATGTGTCCGTGTGGCCCTGTCTACTTTGTCTAGGAAGTCTCAGAAACCATTTTCCTTGAATGTTCTGGGAATGTGGCACAGTTCTATGACCCCATGAGACCCTAACCATGAGGGAATGAGCAGACTCGTTTAATGGATTTATTGTGGTCAATTGTATTTTGATTTCCTGTCAGTTTCCTTAGCTACTACCAGGTATGCTGTCTTCTACTGAATCTTGGCCTTGGCACATAAACTTGAAATTTATAGTTTCTTTGTCCTTCTTTCTTGTTCTTCAAGTTTTTAATATTAGCACCTTTTCAGACACCTGGAGACAGGCACCACCACTTCTAAAGCCTCTTGCATGAATACATGTAAGGGTACCACTCTCCCCGAGTAAGGTCAGAGTCTGGTCTGTCAGCCTTTACCCCAGACCCTGATAAGTGCTGCACTGAGGCCCTAGCTTGTGGCTCTTACTCCCTGACCATGCTGGTATGGCCTCTCTTTCTAGGTACCTCATCAACTTTCTTCTGGACGCCACTGTAGGCATGCTTCTCATTTATGTGGGCGTACGTGCTGTCAGTGTCTTGGTGGAGTGGCAGCAGTGGGAATCCCTGCGTTTTGGAGAATATGGTAATGCCCATGGACACTGGGTGGAGCATGTTGGGGACTACTTTACCCTGTGTAGCTCTGAAATCTGGAGGGCTAGGAGCTGTTGATTGTCTTCATGTGTAAACATAAATGGGTTTGTTTTAGGGTCTGAGTATCGCTTTCCTGGGGGCAGACCCTCACTTTTGTGGGAGAAAAGGTAGCAGAAGCCAGGGACGGCTCTTCTGCCGGAGGCACTTGTGGTTCCTCGCAGTACTGCAGAGACACCTCATTCTGCTGGGGCTCCCAAAGATCGTACCTCACCTGCCCATCACCTTAGGGATGAAGCAAGTCTTCTTGGAGAAGCAGTCCATGGGGTGAAAGCCTGCCCTTTCTGCTACACACTGTGTTTGCCCTGTCACTAGGATACTCTGTTGACAGAGTAGAGTTCACATGGCAAGTACTGGAGTGTGCATCCCCTCTGAGGTCAAGTTGTCTTGCTTCTTCTAACTGTAGACTTGCCCCCCACCTAAAATATGGATGCCCCAATCACTCAAACATGAGGTCATCACTCAGATACAAGGCTTCAGACCGGCAACTTGTAGGTGCTGGCCTACCTTGTAAGATACCCTTGTCACATCTTGAGTAAGAAACTTCTTTTAAGTCAGCCATAAGCATGAGGAATAGTTGAAGGTGGCCTTGATAGGAGCTGCTAGTGCATAGCTTCTCTTCTGGAACAATGTTAGTAGAGCTTCACCACAAGAGGGCACCGGGGCAAGCAAGCTCAATGGTTGTGGGTAGAAATCTGGATCCACATTCCCCTTTCCTTGTCATGCCACCCAAACAGCGCATGGCTCTGGGCCCAGAGACCTACTCACTTCCAGGTGGATGAAGATCTCTGACAGTTTAAAAGGGCACATGATTGGTGGAGCTGGCTGTGGTGTACCTTGGGTATTTCTAGAAATCTTAAGTAATTGTTTGTCTTCAGTGAGGGAAGATGATCTCAGGGGAGGACTTTTCTTAGCCTGTTACTTGATGCTGATGAGTCACTGACTTAAGATAGTGTCCAACACAGTATGTGCCACAGGGCTGAAGGAAAGGCTTCTGCAATGCCCAAGTCATAGAGCTCTCAGCTTGCCTGACAGAAATGGACCACAACACATTCTCATTTATAAAACGGGCAACTAGAGGAGCTAAATGACATACCCAGTTGGGGCATGTTTGAGGGCTTTTGCCTCTGCACCAAGAGTCCTGGAACCTTCCACTGCCTCCGCCAACACTGCTCACTCACAGTGCACCTTTGCTGACTGGTGATAATGTGAATTCTCCACAATCAACTATTGACTGAGAACAGAGGTCGGGTCTGGTCCTGGTATGCCAGGTGTTAAGAGTATTGCTTGTTCTGAAGCAAGTTTTGTCTACCTACCTAAGGATGGAGAGAAAGGAGGAAGGCAGTGGCTATGTGTGAGTCCTGTCCTCTTGGCCCACTCCCTTAATCCCATCACTGCTGTTGGAAACCAAGTCTTCAAGCCAGAGTGCCTCCTGAGAAAATGTCCCTTTGTCAAGGGCCATCCCAAGTCCCCCTGTCCTAGGCTATCTCCCCCAGTAACCTGCTGCTTTGCAGTTGTCGATTGCCCTTGTTTGCTGTTGCTGCTGTGTCGAATCAACGAAACCTTGGGGTCTTAAGACTAGCCCATTGATTTAATCCATAGTTCCTCTAGGAATCAACCCAGTTCTGTTGGATTAACATGGAGACATCAGTAGGTGATAAGGATGGTTGTTCTGTTGCCCTGCCCAGCCTCTATCTAGTTCTATCTGAGTCCCTTGGCTCATGACTCTCTTCCTCCACTCTCAACGCCAGTAGCTAAGTTGTTCTCATGGTCTGTCAGTCTGACCTTCTACCTTGAAGAGCTCTGTGATTACCCTGAGTGCACCTAGACACTCCAGATAGTCCATTTAGAGTCTGAATCACAACCTTACTTCCATAACAGCCAGAATTCCCCCTTGGCTAGGTCACAGCACTTAGCATGGGTTCCGGAGATTGAGATGTGGATATCTTTGCAGGACCATTGTTCTGCCTTCTACACTTGTGAATTTACCTGTCCAATTGAGGCAGGAACTCCATGTAGGCCCCACAGCTCTCCGGTAAACAAAGAAGAGATGTTTGCTCTCTAGATATCTTGCTTGGTTCCTAGAAGAAGTCTTAGGACTTGGAACATGAGGCAGAGTTATTTGGTTTGAGGGGTGAATAGTTTCTGAGTAAACTGTGACATCTGTAGTCGCTGAGCAAGCTTCTCATGCCCTGAAAATAAGGCGGTGTTTGGCAGCACTGTATGGCATGGACTTTCCAGCTGCTCCATCTAAACGTTCCCTTCTGGAAGTTTCTCAGCACAGATGTCTCTTTTTTGGTCCCTATTCCTATAACTTAGCCTGAGAGAATAATTTACCAAAACAAACCAATGTTCCTGAGGTTGTCCACTACAATAGAAAACAGGACACATGGCCATGCTTATTAACTGTATTTGTCCTGTAGAGACAAACTTCAGGGGGCATTTAAAAAACTCTCAAGGGAACAGAAATAAGCAAACAAACGATCGTGTGTGCACTCAGCCCAGCTTCAGTGACCTGTGACCTGGATACACAGGAGGGGAGGAGGTGCATCAGCTGGGCACAGGTGCTTTTTCCCTCTTTGGTTTTGAATGTTTTTATTTTAGTATCAAAAACAAAAGGCAGTGGCAACTCCACTGTATAAACAAACTCAGAAAGCAGAGAAAAAACATTTCTCTGTTATCAGTTGCTCACAGCTTACGAGCACATGGAATGAATGTACACTCTGAGCAAGCGAGTATTCTTGTGACAGTAAACAGATGGTGTTACTTGTCTGCCTACTTCCAGCCAAACCAGTCCCTTTTCAGACATTTCCCAGTGGTACTTCCTTCATGGGTACCACTATTCCTGCTTGAAAGTTTGAGCAAATAGTTTCTTCTCCTGTTCAGGTGAACTGCTCTCAGTAAGGTCAGGTGGTTTACCAAAAGCATTGCAAAAGTTGCATTGGTAACTTTGCCAGGAGGGTGGTGCTTCTGAGGAGCTGTACTGCAGCTCAGTGCCCTGCCCCAGTGTGGAGGTAAACAGGAAGCCATTAGAACAAGCAGTGTGTTTCTGCACGCTTTCTGCCCTTCTCCTAGCATTGTCCAGAAAAGGGAACAGCATAGCCTGGTCTTTGTCCATGACAGCTGTGTAAAGGCATTCACTTGTTTGCACTATGTTCAGCTTGCAGGCCCAGGCAGGGCTGGGACCTGCAGCATGAATGCCTGGGGTTGCTATAGAAACAGAAGAATCAAATGACAAGTTGGAAATTTCTCTCCAGACCAGATTCTCTTCTCACAGCCTCCCTGGAATGTTAAATTGCCCGCTTTGGTCAGTGGAGCACAGACTGCTCTGTTGAGCGTCCAGGACACAGCCCTGGCACCCACTCCCCCACTTTGAGGAGTCCTGTCCTAAGGCTCTACCTGCCACTCGGTCATCTCTAGAGAGACTGGTCCTCCACCCTTCATTGAGTCCCTTTTTTGAAACATTCTAGAGGTGCTTTGGGGCCCAAATGCCCCCCATGGTGAACAGTTAGGGCCTTCCTAGTCATTTGTTAAGCATAGTCACTGACAGAATCACAGACAAACCTCCCTCATAGCTGCTGGCCTCAGCCTGTTCCCACTGCCTCCTGTCATGAGGGCTTCTGTTTTCTTTGTCCTAGCCAGGGTTAATTAGGTTGCTCCCCCAAATTTGTTTTTGTTTTAATTCTTTGAAAAGGCCCTGAAACCATTAACTTTTCATTCTTTTACATTAATTCAGTTGGAATCTGAGTTTCTCTATGTCAGCTTGATGTTCTCAGAACTGAAGACAGCAGGGATGGGGGTAATGGCATAAGAAGTGGGTGGTGGACCAAGAGGTCGATTACTGTATTTATAATTACAGTGTCAGCCTCATCGTGAACAGAGAAAGGGAAGGACGGCACTAGTCACCAGGGAAGTCAACTCGATAATAATAGTGCTCTTGCTTCACCCAGAGAGCCAGCAGCCCGCTCTTACTAACTTTAGTGCCTTTGACTCTATCCTACCATATTTTGAAAGGAAAACAATCTGGTATATCCAAATTAGGACTTTATTCAGAGCACCTCCTGTTTTAGGAGTGAGATGAGTGGTAGAGCTTTAGGGACTCAGGAAGTGCCTCGGAGCCAGGGCTCTGGGACACAGCTAGCGGGGGGGGGGGGGGGGGGACGGGGGGGCGGTGTTGTTACCCTACCCAGATCCTGGGCTCATGAGGCTAAGCACCTACCTGTCCTTGTAGGAGACCCTCTGCAGTGTGGGGCCTGGGTGGGGCAGTGTGCCCTTTACATCGTGATCATGATCTTTGAAAAGTCTGTCGTCTTCATCGTTCTGCTCATACTCCAGTGGAAAAAGGTTTGCCTCCTTCCCCTGCTTCTCTGCAGCTCCCAGCTAAGCCAGGCAGACAGCATCCCAGTCACCCCAGCCCCAGCTGCTCGCTTGTGTTTTAGCTCCACAAGTGTCCTGGATTTGGTCTGATAGAGCAGCTATTTACAGGAGCATTAACTTGTCATTCCTGTACTTGACGTCTGTGCACTTTATGTAAATACATGTCTTCTCTAGATTAAACTGTGGGGATGTACAAACTTACTGGAAACACAGTCCCTTCTGGTGTGTTGCTTGGTCTGGTTAGTCTTCAGACTTTGTAACTGTGACTGTTACTTACACTGGCAAACATCCTTCACACATGTGTCTGGGCTAGCTAGTTCAGCTGAAGCCATTGGGTCCACACCTATGTATTTATACCTGAGAGAGCCCATGGTTTTCCCAGCTCTTCCCTTTGCCCTCTGACCCCAGTGCTACCTAGATAAACCTATGCCACTCATTCCCATATAAAACAACCAAGGAGCCTTCTAGAACGTGTGGCTTAGATATGGCTTTCCTTGGTTTTATCTGTGGATGAAAGTTTACCTTTTTAAGAAAATAAGCCGAAGTACTTCAGAGTTGCTGTGCTTGCGGTGATAGCTGTACGGGATTTCTGCTGCGGAGTGCTATAGCACTCCCTTGTCCAGGCGTCCGATGACCACCCACTGAATTTCCTCCCTCCAGTCCCCTAAGGCACCTGCCTACTGCTGCAACTCCCCAGGGCTTCAGGCTGCTCGCTACTGGATGTAGGTCCCACTTGGATCTGACTCCGTGACCTCAAGTCCACCACAAGGGGAAAGCTGCTGGAGTACGAATGACCCAAAGTGGCTCTGATCAGTGGTCAGATCTAGAGTCTGTGCAGCCATGGGTGTAAGGGGTTGTTTCCAGCGGCTCTGTGTGTGCTGCCCTGTGGTCCCCTCCTCACTGTCTGTTTCTTCCTGCAGGTGGCCCTATTGAATCCAATTGAAAACCCAGACCTGAAGCTGGCCATCGTCATGCTGATAGTTCCCTTCTTTGTCAATGTCAGTGCCTTGTTGTGTGTTTTACCCCAGTTTGTACTCTGCCTTCAAGGGTTCCTATTGAGAGCTCTGAGTATGACACAGAAGTCACCCTAAGCCCCCAGACAGACCTTTCTATCTGTAAACAGTTGCTACTTCCCATCCCATAACCAGTCTTGGAAATGATGGGAGTCCTTCCTCAGACTTCAGGTGCCCTCTCCAGGTCCCCTAGTTCAGATGAGGGATCCTAGGAAGTATGACTTGCCTCCCTGCTGGGCCACTTCCCACTGAAATATCCCAGGCTATGTGTGATAGTAACTTCTAGATCAGGATCATTTCAACTGTTCTCCAGAAAGTTATTGCTGAGTACAGACATCAGAGAAACTCATGAGCACAGTGGCCAGAAGTGAGAGCCAGTGGTATGGAGTGCTGAGGGGGTCAGGGGCTCCCTGTGAAGGACCTGCAAGGGCTCATTGCATGTAGTTGGAGACATTGGTTCTAGGCCCAAAACAGTCTGCCTGGGTGGTTGGTTGGTTTGTTGTGCTGTTTTTTTGAGACAGGGTCTTTCTACATAGCCCTGGCTGTCCTTGAACTCACAGAGATCCACCTGCCTGTTATAATACAACAAAGCCCATAAGTCCCAGCAAGAATTACCCTGCTGTTTTCTGATAATAAAGCCCAGGAAAGGGGTAGAGTGATGATTTCTCTTGAATGTTCCGGGAGATAACCAGGGCTGAGTGAGGTTCTCTTCTTACCTCTATTGAAGGGTGGGTATGGATCCTTCTTCTCTGCTTTGTTTGGCTTATCCAGAGTAACCTGCACTTTTCCTTCCCACAGGCTTTCATGTTCTGGGTAGTAGACAATTTCCTCATGAGAAAGGGGAAGACGAAAGCTAAACTAGAAGAAAGAGAAGCCAACCAGGACTCAAGGAATGGGAGCAAGGTTCGCTACCGCAGGGCGGCATCCCATGAGGAGTCTGAGTCTGAGGTAGGAGTCTGCTTGACCCTCCCCAAGGGCCTAGCCATCGTACCTTGGGCTCCAGGAGCCTCAGGTCTCACATGTGCATCTCATCTCCTGAATGCTGACTCACAATACTAGTCAGGGGAAGGAGAATGCTGAGCTGACCAGGAGTCCAGGTCACTCCGAGCCTTGCCCAGCCAGTGCTGCCACTTGATGCCGTAGGTAGTCAAGTGACTGGCCACAGGCAGCCCCTGGGGACTAGCAATGGAGACAGCCAGGTAAGGTGAAATGCATCTTATTCCAGGGAAGCCTGGAGATACCTGGCGTCCTGTCCTCCACTAGGGAGGTGTTGGCTGTAAGCTTCTAAAATATAGGACTAGCTACACCTCACAGAGATAACCTCATCTTCCTTTATCTGCTGGGGTCTAACTGTGATGGCCTGATGTAAGGAAGCAGTAGGCATAGATAAAGCCGCGGGCAGGGCGTGTGTTCCAGCTGCTCATTTTACCTTTGTGCCTCAGCATGTTGCAGCTGGGTTGGCCTGAGGAAACTCCCATAGTGCCAAGCTTGGTGGTACACGGCTTTAATCCTGCACTTGAAAAGTAGAGACACTCAGATTTCTGTAAGTGTGAGGTCAGCCTGGTCTACAGAGCAAGTTCCAGGCAAGAAAGGGCTTTATAGGAGATCCTATCAAAAAAAAAAAAAAAAAAAAAAAAAAGAAGAAGGAAGGAAGAAAAAGTGACCAGGATTGCTGCTGCCTGAGGATGAGGAAAAGAAAATGCACAAATAGCTCATCATTGCACTTGCAGTGTGTCCTGTATCTAAGATTAAGCAGCAACCCTGGAGAAGAACCCTGGGTAGTCTGGATGAATGACAAATAGCCATAAAGTAGAAACTACACTCACGGGCACTCATAACAACATGGTTTGACCTCTGATAATAAAGTGAAATTCACATTGGCCATAGGAGGGAGCGATTAATCAATTGATTCAGTCTACAGGAAGGGTGGTGAGGCTGCCTGCCCCACTCCTGAAGTAGGGATCACATTCCCCTGCCCTTAAACCTTCTTGTGGGCTGTTCTGATATTCCCATGGTTCTCAGAAGTGTGAGACCAAGCAGCTGTGGCAGCGAATGAGCAAATTTGTCCTCAGTGTCTCAGCGGCATGGATGAGTAGAGTAAGTTTCCCTCTTCATCTTCAGGAGTGACAGAGTTAGCTCAAGACAGGCTGTTTAAATTGCAAGCCTTGTGTGGTTCCTGGGGTGACTCCATGTCTGTTTGAAAGAGACTGTATTTAAGGCAGTCCAGAACCCTGAGCTTCCGTGTATCTAGTTGGCTCTGATAGGATTTGGGTCTGGCTGGAAGTTGGATGAAGGCATGGGAAAGGGAGCATTGGTACATCGGCAGGTGAGGGGTAGCACATCTCCCTGGAAGGGTGCACTCCCCACAACCCCCCTGTAAGGACGTGGGAGACTTGAGGCCTCCAAGGAAGGCAAGCACAGCACGGGAAGTACTGCCGCTGCCGTCTTAGGCCTTGCCTCTTCACCACCTCAGATCCTGATCTCGGCTGACGACGAAATGGAGGAGTCTGATGCCGAGGAGGACCTCCGCAGACTGACCCCCCACAAGCCTGTGAAGAAGAAGCACCGCTTTGGGCTGCCTGTATGACACATTCCCCCGCTGCGGATGACAGTCACGGGACCCAGCCCTCCAGCAGCATCCTTCCCTCTCTCTCTACCTTCCTCTTCTACCTCCACTCCTCTTGCTGTCTCTGCCCACTCTCCACCCACCCCCAGACTACTGTGACTGAAAAGAGGGAAGAGGGCCTGTGCCTGAGAGGGCTGTGGGCAGCTGGAGGTCCCGCTCAGTTGCACTACAAACACTGACCAAATATGCAAGCGAAGAGCTTTGTTTGTTTGTTGTCGTCCCTTTGGGGTGTTGTGACACCCCTGTCATATGTCTGACCAGGTGGCATGGTAGAAGAAAACAGCACACATAGACTGTTGCGGAGCCTCGTGCTGAGGCCGGGCCTTGTGGACATGGGACATGCTTGGGGTTAACAGCCACTGGTTGGCCCAAGTTGGAACAGGAATGCTTTCTTACTCAAAATGGCTTTTGTAACTCTTTATTTCTAAAGCCAGTTTTATGAGCTGTGACAGTGTTACTGTTTTTTGAGTATGTGTTTATTTCCTACAAAGTATCTATGCGTCTAATGGGCAAACAGATTTTTAAGTCTTCCGTATGCTGTTTGACTTTTATATTTTTTAAGTTATATTTTCATACTACTGTATTTAAAAACTCTTTTTAATCCCCAAAGAAATGGATTTGTTTGCCTTTCATGGGTTATGAGCTGGTGGGAGGTGGGTAAAAGTCAGAAGTTTTTTAGTTGGGAATATCGTTAGGTAACATCTAGTGATGAGGTAAAGCATCCTGGTGGAAGGGTAGATAACCTTTATCTGTGATCAGAAACCCAGTGTGTTAAGGTCAGCTCTGGGCAGGAGGCAGCTGTTCAGGGTGGATCTGTGTGCTCCAGTGTGTGGGAACAGAGCCCTGCCAGCGCATATAAGCTGGCATGTCAGAGGCTTTGATTAAAGTTGATTGAGGAAGGAGCTCAAGAGTTACACATGTGGGTCCAGAGGCTGCAGGACCACCAGGCTACTCCTGTTGGTTTCCTGCCTCTCTCAGAGCCTCCAAATTGCAAATGTTAGAGCCGTCCAGCCAGTGTAGGTGGCTTGCAGAGCCAACCTTTGCCTTAGTGCCTGTCACCTGCTTGCTTGCTCAGCTGTCTGGGGAATTCTGCCTGGCCAGAGAAGCCTGTTGTCACACCTCCAGAGTTGCGAAGTGGGGGGGGGGGCAGAGCGGGTACCAGTGAGAGAGAGCTATGCCTCACTGTGTCCGTAGTAACTGTGGCTCCTCCTTGGTGGATACAGCCACTTCCTGGTGATACATGCTGACCCTGCACTGTCCCCGGTGTAGAAGCAGCAGGTTGGAGTTGTCCGATGTCTTGTCAGTCCCACAAGCAGGCACAGTGGTAAGGGGCACAAGAACACCCCATTGCTTCGTGGGTTTAGGCCTTAGGAGAGGCAGGCACAAAGGAGCAAACTCTCCTCATCCTTGTAAACCTACATGAGAATGTGTTTCACCTGAGCATTGGGGATCTGCATGCTTGTGGCATGTGAACCCAGCCCTTATGCAGGGTACCTGGAGCTGTCATCTGCCCCTTGAAGTCGTACTAGTCCTAAACAGAGGGTATGTCCTGGAGTGTCTCTAGGCTTATCTTCTAGTGCAAGCACCACTGAGAAGAGAGATTGCTGCTGGAGGCCAGCAACCTGTGAGACAGATTGCTCAGGCCCTGCATTGTTCTTGTTTCTTCTCTATCCTACAGCCATGGCCTTCCCTTCCCCTTGTCTAGTGAGGTTGCACTGAGTGTTGTGGGAAGATGGGCAGCCCTGGTGACATTGCTGCTGTCATCCTCACATCCCCTTCTGTTTCACTGCGCTAGAGATAACCTGTGCTGCACCCACCCCTGCCACCCTTCTGGAGCTCAGGGTTGGAGCCTCATTTCAGACTTGAGCTCCTAGAGTTTCCAAACCACACAGAGGTGGGGGAACCACCGAGAAGGATGGAATCTCCAGTTGCACAGGCCTCGTGGAGGTATTCTCTAAGGCTCTCCCTGCTCCCAGGCACAGGGCCTGAAGGACAGGGGAAGTGAGTGAGTGTAGGTTCCTTCTGCACCCTGATTTTCACTAAGGGCTACCATCTGAGCTGCCCTGGGAAGCTGGCTCAGTCGGAAAGGAGGTCCAACAGCTCTCTGACCCTGGAGCCTGTCTGTGCAGGCTTGGTGTGTTTGCCCTCCCCTCTTCCTGTGTGGATGTGTGTGTGCATACATGCAGCATGAGCACACATGCTCACACAATTCTACATCCCTCAGGAGAGTCTCCAGTGGTTGCTGAGGCATTTCTGTTAGCGTGGTGGACTGCCTCACTAGAGTGGGTGTAGAGGGCTCTGGTCAGGATGTCTTTCTTCCCAAGCTGTCCACCTCCCTGGAATGAGTGTCCCCATCACTTATTCCAAGGTGCCTTATGAGGTGGGACCCTTACTGGCTTTTGGCAGACGTCAAAGCTACGGAGGAGAAAAAGGAAGTGCTGTCAATCTGATTTGTCCAAATCAGTGTCTTGGCCAAGCTGCCCTTGGAAACTTTCGAGCCAGAGTGATGAATGAGTCTTGTAACTAACAGAAATAAACCGATGAGAGAGAGCTGACACCTAACTCAGAGATGGTGGTTATTTTTTATTTTAACTTCATTTTGGCTGTTGGTGGGGCTTTGATAAAGGCAACAGTGAATGGTGAGGTCCTGTGTGGCAGTGACTTCTCAGTCTGTGTACCAGAGGATGTGTGAAGTGAGACTCTGTGGCCCCTCCACCCTGGAACATGCTGGTAGCTTCCTGCCTCAGACTTTAAATTGTGAACTCCCTAGCAACAAGGAGCTATGTGCTCACCTCAGGTACTGTGCCTCTTTCCTCAGGGAAAACAAAAAAGCTCAAATTCAAGTTGTACCTTCCTTTGGCAGTGCAGGCTACAGCTCAGGGTCCACACTAAACAGGTGCCCCAGGACCCTGGAAGGGGCAGACCCAGACTGTCCCTCCTGCCATGCCTGGCAGCAACCACCTTGTAGGATGTAAGTCGGTGGTCCTCAGCCTTCCTAATACTGCAACCCTTTAATACAGTTCCTCATGTTGTGGTGACTCCTAACCATAAGGTTATTTTTGTTGCTATTTCATAACTGTAATTTTGCTACTGTTATGAATTGTAATGTAAATGTATTTCCAGATGGTCTTAGGTGAGCCCTGGGAAAGTGTCATTTGGCCCCCAGGTGCAGAACACCTATCTTAAATGAAGTTTCACCCAGCTTCTGGTGAGACACTTGTTTGTATCGAGGAACATGTGGTTAGCCTTGCTTTCAGCGCCCTGAGTTCTGAGAGTGGACTGGTTGGTTGGCTGCCTGGTTTGGTTTTTAATTTTTCTTTCCATAGGATTTATTAGAAGTCAGACCTATGTGAAGAAAACTGTCCCCATTTCAGCTGCCTGTCCTGTGGAGAGTTTAATCAGTGGCACTGAGTCACAGAAACACATTTTTTAGATGGCGGGGAAGATGGCGTACTTATATTGTAAATTGGCTTACAATAAAGTTTCACATCTTACTAATTTAAAAAAAGAAGAAGAAAGAAACAATTACTTTTGTGGTCATTGATTGTGTCCTCTGGAACTGAAATAGCTCAGGGGGCTAATAAACCTTCTGATACCTTCTGGCAGCTAAGGGGCCAAATCTGCAAGAAAAGAAACCAAACATCATCTAGCCATCTTCCTTGCTGATGAGCATCTAAGCCAGTTTACCTGCTGGGGGGTGGGGGGTGGGGTTGAGGTGAACATTCCATATCCTTGTCCATGAGGACAGAACTAGCTGTGGGCACTCCTCACAAGGCATGGTCTGCCTGGCTTCTCTTTGGAGCCACTGGTGTTGCTCAGATCAACACTTATTCCAACCTAGACCTGGTAGTGCCGGCATTGACCTGCCAGGAAGCAGGACCAGAGAGCAGAGGCTGGGGTGGAGTTTGAGGTACAACAGCCATGCAGTGATATTTAGGATAACTGTATGTTAGTACCTGGTTGGAATTCATCTGCCTGGAACCTTCAGGGTAAGAATAATGTCCCTTGTAGCCTGGAGGAAGCTGAGATAGGTCTAACAAAAGACCGAACTCTGACCCACATCTACCACTGCCCACCTCAGGCTTAGGGTCCCCACGTGTTCCCGGGGTGATCTTTGCATGCAAAGATGAGGCTATTGGGAGTACTAAAGGGCTTTCCAAGGGAGCCTTGTCCTTCCTTTTCCCTACAGCTTAAAATCTGAAGTGGACATTGCTCTCTCCCTAAAGAACAGTGCTTTAGCTATCCAGTTCCCATCTTGGGCAGCAGCCCTCTCTAGACCTTCACCAGCAAGCATGGTCTCCTCCCGGTCTTTCCTGGGCCCATACCCTGCCTTACTTTGTCCCTTTACTAAACTTGCCCCAGGTCTGGTAGGGTAGAGGACCAGAGCATCAGCAAGTGCAACACACCAGCTTCCCAGCACCTCCTCAGCCTTGGTGTCTCTGCTGTGAACAGTGGTGGCTGCTCACTGAGAATCATCTGTGCTCACCCTGAGAACCGCTTCCAAGCAGCAGATAGGAAGTTTCTGCCCTGTCAGTGTGCCAAGATGGGAAAGCTATTTCCGCTGGAATTCAGGGGTAGAAGAGAAAGACAAACAAGCTCAGAGCATCCACCCTGGTTCAGAGATTTCCCCTTCCACCCTGTCACTGGGATGCATTCTTGCAGTCAGCCCGCCCAGACGTCACACACATTGCAGGGTTCACATTCATAAACACACTCTGGACACAGTACCAGTACCTTCCACCTGCAAATTGAGCAGCTGTTCCAAAAGCACGGGTACCCCCAGCTGTCTACTCTCGCCAGGGCCGCTGCCCATCATCTCCAAGAATAAACGCCAGCTAGTGGCTGTGTGGATCTGAATCATCGGAGCTTCCAAAGCAGGGGAGTGACTGCCAGGACAGACAAGCAGGCTATATAAGTTCCTGAGGGTTGGGCTTCACACAGTTCTCCTCCTGTGGCTACTGCCTGCCAGAGTTACCTACAGAGAGAGAACTTGCTGGGCATCTACCATGTCTGAGGTAAGAAGGCCCAGTGGGGGCCAGCTGGTGCCAAGGGAGTTGGGAGAGGCAAGGCTGGACACGGACTGGTGGTATCTGCTTTGAACTAAAAGCCCAGCCCAACAGGCGGCACTGCAGCCCTGGGAGACTGGCCTGGAAAAGGACACCCTGGGTCCCCAGGCTCTGGTGAATGGCCTTGGTGGTCCCAGGACTTGTGAGGTGTTGGGGATTGGGGAGGACTTACTTAGAACTGTGTGTGCTTTTGTATGAGTATGGGGGAGCAGGCTTTGATAGCTTAATGTGTCCAGTTGTATGCATTTGTAATCTGGAGGAAGGGCGGGGGAGGGTGGCTGTACCTATAGGTCACAGTTCTGTGTCCTTCTGCTTCCCTAGCAGGGTGTGTCTCTGAGCAGGCCCATGTCTCCCTGGCTCCCCTGGGAGCTCAGCCCAGGCCAGTGAGGGAAACCCTGCAGCTGCCTGCAGGGCTTAAGAAGGACTAAGGTGTCAGCCTCACAGGCGCCTGGGGTTGAGGGGCTGGATAAGCAGTCTGGCTTTCCCGGCTCTACAGGGGCAGACAGAACAGCACATTGTCCTTTGCTGCTTGCTCCGTGGCTGTCCCCATTCCAAACACAATAATGGAAAATACCAGTGTTTGGTTTGGGGAAACGGGGTGGTCCTTATGGGACTCTGCTCCCCAGTAAACAGGTTTTAGGACTCAACAGACTCCCTAGGGCTGCTCAGTCTTGAAGTCCATCCATTCCCCCTCTGCTATCTGCCCCTTATACCCTGCCCTGAATTTGGCTAGACAGACAGGCCAGTATGAAGATGCAGTGGCCACCACCCCCAGGAGCTCTCTGTCTATGGGCCAAAGACGAGACCTCCAAGCCAGACCAAGAGGGCAGAGGACTTTCAGGGGCTGGGAAAGGAGTGGGCTTTGACTTGACTGAGGTCAATGATCTGGGAGCCTGCCACAGTTGGAGGGGCTCACCTCAAGGCCTCGAAATGTGAGACTCTGGGCCTCCCAAGGTTGGCAGCCCTGAAGACCCCATCAAGAAGAAGCGCCCCCCTGTGAAGGAAGAAGACTTGAAGGGGGCCCGAGGGAACCTGGCCAAGAACCAGGAGATCAAGTCTAAGACATACCAGGTCATGCGGGACTGTGGTGAGTATACTCCAGGGCATGTGGTGGGGTTGGAGATGTGTCTCCCAGGGGTAGCTGAGAGGTGTTGAGGGTTTCTGGGCCTGCATAAAGAGCCTTAACCATTGCCTGATGCCACTCTCGTATCTCTTACCTACAGAGCAAGCAGGCTCAGCTGCCCCATCTGTGTTCAGCCGAAATCGCACAGGTACCGAAACAGTCTTTGAGAAGCCCAAAGAGGGACCTGCCAAGAGCGTCTTTGGCTGAGAAGTGCACACTGCACCACTCCAAACACCAGGACACGGGAGCCTTTCCCACGAGCTTTTTTTTTTTTTTTTTAATGCTGGAAGATGCCTTTCCCCTGCTGCCTCCAGACTCCAGATCATCATGACTCCCCACAACCCAGCCCTTCTTTCCCAGCACCTTGGAAACACCAATAAAGAGGGTGGCTCCAACCTTGGGAAGGTGCCAGCTGGTCAGTGGCCATGGCTACTAACTGCTGAGAAAGAGGAACTATGGAGATATAATACATCCGGTGAATAATGTGTGTGCTTTCAGGGTGTTTGAGATGTACTAGAAAAAGCCTTAGATATGGTTCAAACCTGATGACTGTAGACCTCTCCCTCCCTCTCTCTCTCCCTCCCTCCCTCTCTCTCTCTCTCTCACACACACACACACACACGCGCGCGCGCGCACACACACACACACACACACACACACACACACACACACAGGGTTTCTCTGTGTAACAGTCCTGGCTGTCCTGGAACTTATTCTGTAGACCAGGCTGGCCTTGAACTTACCGAGATCCCCCTGCCTCTACCTCCAGTGCTGGGATTAAAGGTATGCATCACTACACCCAGCTTCTGTTCTTTCTAATCCTCCATTTCAGGGCTGGAGAGATAGTACCACAGTTAGGAATACTTGATGTTTCTGCAGAGGACCCCAGTTCCATTCCCAGTATCCACATGGTGGCTCACAACCATTTACTCTGTCACCTTTTTCTGGCCTCTGAAATAAAAGTTTTAAAACTAGCCTCTGGTTTCCCATCATATGCAACAGGAGAGTTGAGTTGATGCCTAGTCCATAAAGCATGTCACAGTGACACTTCTCCATCTTAGGAGCCTAGCTCCCTCTGCCTGCCATGGAAGCCACTGAGATGTTCCAAGGTCCTCAATGCCCATCCCATTGCACCTATGTTAGACTGATGCTTTACTGAATGTCCCCACCTCAAAGTCAAAAGTAGGTGTGGTTCCTCTGTCCAGTGTCAGTGAGTTTCCTGGACTCCACCACCCAAGAGTGTTGTCTGGGGTGTGAGACACCAGGTTCCTAGCTATGTGTGACCTCTTCAGACCTGTGTCCTGTGTGTGCTGTGTCAGTTTGAGGAGACTGAAAGCCTGCCTGATGGGATGGCAAGACCACAGGCAGGCTAAGAATGGCTCCTTCTGAAAGCAGGGCCTGGCTCATGGACCACTGCTCCTGGGAAGCCTCTTGTGTGCCCTGAGCAGGTTGAACTTTTTCAGGATGTTTTGCATGTCCTAGCCAGCCTGGCCTTATGTAGCTCTGGCTCCAGACTGGCCTATTCCTGTGTCCCAGAGGAGCAAACCTTCTGTGGGAACAGAGCCTATATTTGCTCATTGGACCTCTTAAGAAAGTTCTTCCCAGAAGAGCTGTGCCCCCTGTGTCCCATCCAGGGCCAAGAGGGTGAGCAGGTGCACCGAAGTGACCTCTGGCCACAGCCTTGCAAGGAAAGGGAAGGTTTTAATGGAAGCAATAGAAATTGTTTCAAAGTCTATGGTACCCTGTCCAGGGCCAGACATCACCAGCCTTTAGCCAGCTGCTGGTGATAGCACACCAGCAGCTGGCCACTCTTTCATATCCATAGACCCAGGAGTGGCCCTATCCAGAGCCACAAAAGCACATCAACACCAGCTTCACCAAGTCCCAGTGTTGGTTCATATCACCATGGCTTGTTATATAAAACAGTACTTCAACTATATCAAGGACATATTGAGAAAAACCACTAGCAGTACTTAACACTCTCATGGTCCTGCTGCGACAGAATCAGGCCACCACACTACCTGTACACAACTCTACAACTCTTAGGAACCATGTGCAACCAGCTCTTTTGTGTCCCACCTTCCTGCGGAGACTGTCCAGCATCACAGTTCTGGGTTCAGGATATGCATCTTTACAGCTCTTGGGTGTTGTCAAATGGCAGAACTTTTTGGGGGTCTGCTTGGCTTGAACCTAAAGTCCATTTACAGTAATAGGACCCAAACAGCAACCTTGAACCAGATGGGCAGAGGCTCCTGGGCCAGCATCCATGTTGGTGTCTTCAGACACCTCTAGTCCTCTCGATGTCTCTGGGACCCTGGACATGTCTATCTCTTCCAGGAAGCCATGTGGGGTATCCTTTCCAGGCCCAGTCTTCCTAGTGAAGCTGCTATTTCCTCCCAGGCTAGACTCATGAAGAGCAGACTGGCCTGATTGTTGGGTGCCTCTGAGACTACAAAGCATGGAGGATGGCTTGTGTGAGGTTGAGATTCCTGGAAATTTGGAGCTTGCAGAAGGGAAGCGAATACCCAGCTCCAACCTGAGCCTACCTTTCCTCAGAGTATGTCCTGTTGTCAGCAAAGTTTACTGGACATAGGTCATTTGTCTCCTTATCTGAGGCCTCTGGGATTTTTGGCTTGGAAACCCCTATTTCCCAGAACTTGCGCCAGTAGGGGCAGAACACCCAGCAAGTTACCAATTTATACCCCACCTGCTCTCAGGTTCAGAAGCAGCCTGGCAAGCAACTGAAGACCAATGAAGAGCCCAGCCCCTGCCCACATGTGGAACATTGTGCTGGTCCTGCCCTCGCTGCTGGCTGTGCTTCAGACCACCACTGCCAAAAAGGTAACAGTACCCATAGGTGCCTCTTTGTATGCCTGTGCATGCGGTGTGAGCTAGGGAATGAGTAAACACATCTGGGAAGCCAGAGAGGGCCTCTGGGTGTGTGCAGGTTGGTGTGTGTGCAAAGACATGGTGCTGACTATTCACCAGGCACTACCCAGAGATCCTTACAGATTCTTCACTTAACATAAGGAGTGATCCTATGCTTGCTGCTTTATAGATGAAGGAAAGTCTAGCCAATTGCCCCTTGAGGCTGACAGTGCCAAGTAGATCAGAGTGTGGCTGTACAAGCCCAGCTCTCCTGTCCTGGATGAGTGGCTTCTGGGAATTATTTATATGTTCTGTCTGTCAGTTTCCTCGTCTGAAAGAGAGTAATAATATAACCAACTCAGCTGTGCTGGCTGAGAGTCAAGCCCATAATGCCTAGGAAGCCTTCAGTGCCACACTTGGTGCAGAGCTGACATTTAGCCTTGCTAATAAGTCGTGCTGTCTGTCCCTCTGTGCTAAACTAGGGCAGGTGACCATGAGTATCTGAACAGTGTGTGTGTAGCATGACACACGGAGCAGGTAGGGGAGCATAGGGCTGTATGTGTGGTCATATCCTTTCTTAAGGAATTGCCAGCATCTAGTAGCCCTGTGGAGTGGTTGGGACACAGAGGATCCACGGCAGGCAAAATGGATGAAGAATGTTGTCACTCCTTAGCGACCTGTTTTCATGAAGCTCAGAATTTCCAAAAATCAAAGAGCTTGTTCACCGCCCTTTTACTAGCCAGAGCTCAGCCTGGACACAAGGTCCCTGACTCCAGACCTCTCACCTCTGTCCAAGTGTGATCCTGCCAGACTTGAACTATTAACCTAACCCCATGTGCTTGCTATTTCCCATGGGGGCTCTGGAGTCCTGCTTTATGGTGCTGTCTTATGGGTAATGAGGTCCACAGCTGCCTCTGACTTCAGACAGATGTTCACATGAGAAATGTCTGACAGGGTTCAGCCTGGTCAGTATCTGTGTCAGAGGATGGGTGGAGTTTGTCTGTGACCAGAGTCAAAGCCTACTGTTGAAGCCCTGCCTCTTCCCCTTCACTTGTCCAGAATGGCATCGATATCTACAGCCTCACAGTGGACTCCCAAGTGTCTTCCCGATTTGCCCATACTGTGGTTACCAGCCGGGTGGTCAACAGAGCCAACTCTGTTCAAGAAGCTACCTTCCAAATAGAGCTACCCAGGAAAGCCTTCATCACCAACTTCTCCATGTAGGTGGCTTCTACCTCTTCCAATCCACAACCCAGCCCTGCAACTCCATCTGTTTGGGCCTGAAACGTCGTTCCAGAAGCTGGTTCCTTGGGGCACTACTCCACCTGTCAGCCTCACAGGGAACAGGGATGTTATGAAGCCCTGTGAGAATTCTGTCCCTCCCTCCTGTCTGTTATTCAGCCTCCTCACTAAATACTGCAAGGTGGCAGGCCAAAACCACAGCATCTTGGAATCTCTGCCTTTGAGAAGTACAAGCTTAGCACAACTCCAGGCCAGAGCTAGGCCCAGGAAGTCACCAAAATCAGATTCCAGCTGGGCAAATATAAGCCCTAACTCCTGGGGTCTTCTTAGTCGCTGCACAGGGCAGGCAGATCTGTTTCCTCAGAAGATGCCAGAAGGACTCTGAGCTGGCAGGAGTCCTTACTTGCCCTCTGCCTTCCTGCACACCCCCGCCCTGATCTATTTTGCAATGTTTATTAAACTTGGGGAAAATCCAGGCTTGGCCCTGGCCTCCTGGAGAGGGAGGGTACATTGAGGTGGAGGAGAGTGAGAGCGAAGGCTAGGGTGGGTATTTCTGGGAAATTGCAGGGGAGGGGCTAGGTTCCCTATGGTTGGCTCCTCCCTTTCTCCCCACCCACCCCCATCCTAGAACAGTTTCTGTTTCCTGACCCTGGAGCCTAGGCCAGTGGACCCCCAGATCTTTCCACTGCCTGAGACACAGAAATGCAGGGCAGGTTTCCCTGTCCCCTGCCCTGGCCAGGAATCTCAGCAGAGCATCTGGAGAAACTATGAACTTTCCATCAAACAGAAGGAGCCTGACTTCCTGTTCATCCCCATTCTGACCCAGAGTTGCACCATGACCAGAGAAGTGAGAGAAATGTGCCTGTTCTGTGTACTTAGCTAGGTGCCTTCCCACCACCCCCTCTCTGCACACCACTCCCAGAACGAATGGTATTCATTTTCTGGTCCCTATTCACCCCACAAAGAATGCCAGAAACAGCCACTTTCTGTGCAGAAAAATGGCCCTAGCAGTTCCTTCTCAACCTAAAAGGATGACAGCTAGAAGCTTGCTTCCACCACTAGGAGCCAAAACCTGCTTCCAAAGATGCCAGGCTCCCTGCAAACACCCATCCTAAGCAGGAGGGGTGAGGAAGAAGCTGCAGAGAATTGGATCACAGCTTGCATCCCTGTGTCTCCCTCTTGCTCAAGTCTGGCCCCACAAGAGGTAGATTCAGGGCTGGGTAAAAAACAATTCATTATTGTGTTGTTCTCGAGCATCAGAATAGTTCGCAAGGGTCATGGGGCAGCTCGGAATGTGGGCTAAGTTTAGCCTCCTCTGCAAACTTCTGCCCTGTCCCTGCAGTAGAATCCACGTGTGCTAACACCGTGTATGTCTCAGGGCAGCTGAAAGCCTCTCACAGTGTTGAACATAAAGCCTTCTACACAGTAAGTGCATGATAAAGGCAGTGCCCTTAGACAAACAAAGACAGGGGTCACATAAAGAAGCTCCCCAGATTCTAGAAAGGCCCTTCTAAAAAGGTTCTTAGCTGTTCTCCTCCCTACCTAGGGTCATCGATGGTGTGACTTACCCAGGGATTGTCCAAGACAAGGCTGCAGCCCAGGAGCAGTACAGTGCAGCAGTAAGCCGCGGAGAGAGCGCTGGCCTCGTCAAGTGAGCCTGTGGGAAAGGGTGCATCCACGTAGAGATGTCCCTACCTTGGCCTTTAGCCATGCTCCCCTCCAGCAGCCATCCCCTACCTGACCCAGTGGGTTCTTGTTCATATCCTCCAGGACCGCTGGGAGACAGACAGAGCAGTTCGAAGTGTCAGTCACTGTGGCCCCTAATGCCAAGATTACCTTTGAACTGGTATACCAGGAACTGCTCAGACGGCGACTGGGAACATATGAGCTACTCCTCAAAGTGAAGCCACAGCAGCTGGTCAAGCACCTTCAGGTACCTGCACCGCCCTCTCCAGGAAGCCCTCTAGATGTTCCTTCCCAGCTAAGGCAACCTCTCCTTGCCGCCTAGCTTCCTGGGGGCACAGCCTACCTCATGGGTCCCCTGGTGACCCATATCTTGCTTGCTTACAGATGGATATCCACATCTTCGAGCCTCAGGGTATCAGATTGCTGGAGACAGAGAGTACCTTCATGACCCAGGAGCTGGCAGACGCCCTTACCACCTCACAGAACAAGACCAAGGTGGGCCTGCTATGACCACCAAGTGAGGACACCCCAGGGCCAGTCTTTAGTCCAGCCGACTATGGTCTAGATTCCCAAACAGTTGGAAGTTCTCTGAGCTGGGAAGGCTTCTGAGATCTGTATCCATGCCAGTGCCAAGAAGACAGGATAGCAAGACCTGGAGAGGGCCAGTGGGCCTCTTGTAGGAGCTTAGGTTTACAGGGGGACAAGCTTGGAGGGTAGACTGGTGGGAGGGTCCTCAAAAGAGATAACTGGATTGTCCTGAGCCCAGATGCTTACATGTCCCCAGAACATGTCCTCACGCGCACACCAAATGGAAGCAATCCCCTTTCGGCTCAGAACACACATCCCCTAGAATGTTCACTCATGGTTGCATATGGAATCTGATTTCTCAGTGTGCACATAGAAGGGGATGTTGGCCTCACTGCTCCTCCAGCATCAGCTCTGATTGCTCCTCCAGGCACATATCCGGTTCAAGCCAACACTTTCCCAGCAACAAAAGTCTCAAAATGAGCAGGACACAGTCCTGGATGGGAACTTCATCGTCCGCTATGATGTGGACCGGTCTGTCTCTGGGGGCTCCATTCAGGTGGGTGGACTCCAGGCAAGGCAGCGAAACCTCAGAGTCTGGAACAGGAAAATGATGGCCCCTCCTTCATAGTGTGCACTAGGGGCTGGCTCACACAGAAGATAGGCAGTTCAGCTGTGGTGACCATGAATACTATTCCCTTTCTGGAGGCAGGAAAAGTTTCTCTCTGCAAAGAAGTGCTTTGTGGGCCTTCTCACTGAGGTTGTCACCCAGAGGCTCCTAGCTCAGTCGAATATGCAAGTCCAGCAGCTGTGTTCAGCATTTGTGCTCCCTTTTACTCCCTGCTTTCCCAGCATTCCCTCTTGATGGATATTGGGTTCGTCATGTCTTTTAGTATAAGCTGCTTCAAATACTAAAACAGGGGACAAAGTTGTGGAGAGACTTCTAGGGCTATACATGAACATGGACGTCTTCTGCCAACAAGAGGCTGAGCTTTGAAAAGTGGTGGGGATTTCAGAGACCTAAGGAGCTGGGGTTGGAGAGGAGTCATAAAAGGGGAACACAGGAACCAGGGGTTTGGGATGCAGTGGTCTGGCAGAAGTATGGCAAGGCTTAAAGTTCTGGTCACCTGGGTGCGCTCTTACTCTGGCCACAGATTGAGAACGGCTACTTTGTGCACCACTTCGCCCCTGAGGATCTTCCTACAATGCCCAAGAATGTGATCTTTGTCATTGATAAAAGTGGATCTATGTCAGGCAAGAAAATCCAGCAGGTAGGTCTCCTGAACACTGGGATCATCATTAGCCTGACCTGTTACGGCATCCTGGGTGGGGGCTTCCTAGGACCAAGTCTGGCCCAAAGCATACTCCATGAGCCCATCCGAGATACCAGGACCACACACCTTTGAGCTCCTCTGAGTCACCTGCCTTGTCTTCTCACCCCCCCCCCCCATTAGACTCGAGAAGCCCTAATCAAGATCTTGAATGACCTCAGCCCCAAAGACCAGTTCAACCTCATTGTGTTCAATTGGGAAGCAACCCAATGGGCATCATATCTGGTGGAAGCCTCAGAAGAGAACTTGAAAAGGGCCACAGAGTATGCTTCCAAGATCCGTGCTCAAGGAGGTGAGTGTCTCTGCATCGTGGGAGGCTGGGGACTTCCATGATCACTAACTGGGATCAACCCTGACTATGAGCCCTTCAGGGACCAACATCAACGATGCAATGCTATTGGCTGTGAAACTGCTAGATAGCAGCAACCAGGCTGAGCTACTGCCCTCGGGGAGTGTCTCCCTTATTATCCTGCTCACGGACGGTGAACCCACTGAAGGTGAGGACGCAGTGGCATTCTGGGGGCATGCTAGACATGGAACAAGGCTGGAACTGTTTCCAGGCGGGCTATGAAACCTGGGGCAGAGAGAAGGAGAGTCCTCGAGACCCCTTTGGTTCAGAAACATCCATTGAGCAAATGATTCCATTCTCGTCCTCTCCCCAAATTCATGAGTCTAGGGGAGACCAATCCCGCAAATATCCGGAAGAATGTACAGGAAGCCATCAACGACCAGTACAGCCTCTTTTGCTTGGGCTTTGGTTTTGATGTCCACTATTCTTTCCTGGAGAAGCTGGCACAGGACAATGGTGGCCTGGCCCGGCGCATCTATGAGGACTCAGACTCTGCACTGCAGCTCCAGGTACCAGTTCAGTCCAAGGTGGGATACAGACAGTCAGGAAGACCCTGTTTGCCTGCCCTTTGTGACATATTATGCCACCCCATAGGACTTCTACCACGAAGTAGCCAACCCGCTGCTGTTGTCGGTGGCCTTTGAATACCCCAGTAATGCCGTGGAGGTGGTCACGCAGGACAACTTCCGACACCACTTTAAGGGCTCAGAGATGGTGGTGGCTGGGAAGCTCCAGGACCAGGGTCTTGATGTCCTCTCAGCCAAAATCAGTGGGCAGATGGTGAGTGTGGCTCAATCATCCTGGAGCCAAGGGGTAGCTGGGGTCACCTGGGCAGCCTCCTCATTTGCAGCCAGAGGGACTGGGCTCAAGTCCCAGCTGACTGATCCTGAGTGAGTGTCAAAGGGTTTTCCTGAAGGACACCAGCCCCAGCTGCATGGGTTCATGGTATCACTCCAATAAAACAATGTAGTGATGCTCACAAGAGAACCTAGCACATGCAGGGACTGAAGACTGGCTCTGCCCGCTGCCGCTTGCCTCCCCTTGCTCGTACAGTGATAGCAGGTGTTCCTTCCTAGTGCCAGTTCCTTTTCTCCTCATGCTAGGCCTTTGAGGGTGTGGGTAGACAGAGAAAAATGTGAGTAGACCAAGGACTAGGCATCTCATAGAACCCCAACCTTGCTCAGACTTCTCTGCCCCTGGGTGCTGGAGGTTCAGCATGCCATCTCACAGATAAATAAAAAAAAAAAAAAAACAGAGTCTTTAGGTTGAGGGCTGCAGCGGTAAATAAGGCCAACCCTCCTTACCCTTCTAGGACAGACAACTTGTAAACAAGTGGAAAGACAGCCTAGACTGTTCCTGACAGCACGTACCCAGGCCTTCAGCCTGCTAAGATCGAGTGATAAGTAGGAATGGGGCTGAACCTAGAAGTGAGGAAGGGCTGTTAGGCTCGTATGCCTGCAAGGCACCTTGTCTGCAGAGAATGACAATGGATATGTGTTACAAGCAGTTTGTTGCCAGCCTGGTCCCAGAGGCACATCAGTCCCAAAATAACACGGAGAGACTCTATTGGTTATAAAGCTGTTGGCCAATGGCTAGAGCTTCTTATTGGCTAGCTCTGTCTTAAATATTAACCCATTTCTATCAATCTAAGTGTTTCCACATGGTCTTATCTTACTGGAGAGAAGGTCTAGACCTCTTTTCTCACATCCTACATCTTGACTCTCTTTCTATTACCTCTCCCAGAATCTCCCAGTCTCCTGGTCCCACATATCTTGCTTTCCTATTGGCCAACAGAGTTTTTTAACCAATAAGAGAAACATATTTATAGAATGACATCTCCCATCAAGTATGGGGGACACAGAGCCTTGTCTTAGACGCAGCCAAGTGGTAGGACTGTTCCTAAAGACTATGTGGCCAAACAAACAACCCATCTTTAAACCAAGCTCCATCACCTTCCATAGGTGAGAAGTAAGGAAATTGCTTAAGCTCCTAGTGCATCACTTTCCTCCTGATTACAAATGTGTCTAACTCACATGACTGCTTCATAGAGTTACTAAGGAATACTGGCCCCTTGTAAACACAAACATGACTCAGATGTCAAACCTAAGGGATGGGGTTGCTTACACGTTTCTTTTCTTTTAGTACTGGGAATTGAATCTAGGGCCCCAAGCAAATTATCCTACCATTAAGCTATATCCCTGTTCCTCTTTTTACTTTTTATTTTGAGACAAGACCTTGGTAAGTTCCCCAAGACGGCCTTGAACTCACCCTGTAGCCCAGACAGGCCTTGGCTTTCTAACCCCCCCATGTCAGCCTCCTGAGTAGCTAGACCCACAGGCTGGTGCCACCATGCTCAGTTCTTGGGTTAGCCCATGCAAATGTTCGTCCATTCGAACTCATGCTTATGGTCTTCATGTACCAAAGCTTTGGCAAGCCAGGCCCTGGGTAAGAGTCTGGGAGAGGCCAATACCAGCAGGATGGGCAGAAGCTTACACAGGGCTTACACAAGGCTGTCCTTCTGATAAAAAGGGCTTGGGGCACCTCTGCTCTCAGAACCATTTCCTAGGCTCCAAGCTTAACCAGGCTAAGACCATGACCACCTTTTCCCTGGGAAGAAAGCAGCCAAATGGAGGGAGGTACAGATTTCCTGTTTTCCTCACACAGAGGCCAGCCCCAGCAGAGGGGCACTGTGGAGCTAGCAGCTTGCTGCAGTTCTGAAGTTCTAGTCCCATCTCTACTGCTGACTGCTCAGGAAGCCTTCTCTTTCTTTTCCTTTTCCCTGTGTTTGGGGGAAGGGGACTCTTTCTGTTCCATGCTGTGTCTGAGATGCCTTCCTTCTGCACTGGCCTAGAAGTTGTCTCCCTTCTTATGAAAGGTCAGCTGACCCAAGCTCCTGGCTATGCAGCTGTCTCCCTATGCCTGGACAGCTGCTAACATTTCTCCCCGCCTCCCTTTTACCGCAGATGATCTGTGGGAGACCCTCATACTCCTGAATTCCCTCCCTACCCACACAATACTCAAAAGGAATGAAGCCCTCGTAGTTGCTCCATGCCCTGGCCTGGCCCCAGTCCCAGGCAGGGTTCTAATTCATTAGAACTCTCAATCCTGCTCAGCTGTAGACATCAGACCCCCCTCCCTCTCTCCCTTGGGTTGATTCCCCTTTTCAGCATAAGCAGAACATCACCTTCCAAACGGAAGCCAGAGTAGCCCAAAAGGAGGAGGAGTTCCAGAGCCCCAAGTACATCTTTCACAACTTCATGGAGAGACTCTGGGCATTACTAACCATACACCAACAGCTGGAACAGATGTGAGTGACCCTGAGCCTTGTGAGCCACTGCAGTGGGCTTCACATGATATCAATAAAACTTTGGGTGGTGGGGCAGGTACAGTTGGTACAGGTTATCTACCAAGTATGACATTCTCCCAACTCCACATTCTCCCAAGGGGCCAGTGGGAGGGAGACAGCCAAGATACTCAGGGGCCTCCTAAGCTCTTACGTCTTCAACCCGCAGGGTCTCAGCATCAGGTGATGAGTTAAAGGCCCTTGAGTCCCAAGCTCTGAATTTGTCACTCAAATACAGTTTTGTCACTCCTCTTACACATATGGTGGTCACCAAACCTGAAGGCCAAGAACAATTTCAAGTTGCTGGGAAGCCAGTGGAAGCTGGTGAGTGTGACCCTGGGTCTTGATGCTCCACCGCCTTATGACCAAGCCCCTACCATCCACAGACTCCCAGATACCCAGGGAGCCCCATCTCAGGCCACTGAGGAGGAAACTGAGAACGGGTCTTGCAGGCCCCGAGATTCGCTGCATGCACCTGTAGTCTGTAGCTGGGGAAGCAAGTTTAAACATAAGCATTTCGAATTGGCAAAACCACCCCATAATACCTCCCTTTCCTTTTCTTTTGCTTTGTACAGATAATGGACTAAGGAGTGTCTTAAGAGGTAAGGGCCCAATAGCTCAAAAGCTGGCCTCTGTGCAGTCGCCAGTGTGCTCTCCCTGTGGCCAGGAGCTGGTGTTATCTGACCAAACTCATAGTTTGCTTAGTCACTTGCTCACTCAAATACTAGCTGCCCCTCAGGTCTTGACCTGGACTCTTGGTACACAGCCCCTGTCCAGATGGGGCTCTAGAGAGCTGGCTTCGAGGAGTAAACACAAGTCTCACTGTCTTTCAGGTCAAGCCCATTTTTTCAAGTCTCGTGCCAGAAGACCTGGACCGCTCCAACCAGCAGGTTACAATGGAAGAAGGGATAGAAAGGGGAGGTTTGTAGGACTGTGGCAGGATATAGGCTGGGCTCTGCGCTTGGCTGTAGAAGGATAGTGCCTAGCCTACCTAGTTCACGTGACTGGTAGCAGATCAGGTGTGTTTAATTAGAAGTTGGCCATCTAGAACCTTGCTTGACCTAGAGAAAGGGATTTAATAATCAGGGTAATTTAAGTGGCACAGTCCAGGGGAAAAGTTCTCCTGGCTAGGGGAGGCTCTCCAGCAGGGAAACAGAGGCTATGTGCCTTCTCTGTACCCTACTCCTGGCATAAGGTTCCTAGTCCTGGCTATAGGGACCCAGGACATTCTCTGTGAGAACACTGCTCATGTCAATGTTTTTAAAGTAGGAACTAAGTTCCGCAAGGACCCAAAACTGGATGATGCTGGCACTGCACTTAGAGAACACAAATTTCCTGGACTTCGTGGACCCCCTGGTGATCTTTACCTTACTGCTAGCTTTGTTGGCTTCAATCCCAGCCTGAATCGTTTAATGGGAAGGATACCAGACCAGCCTCACTTATGTGAGCCCCCTTCCTTTCTGACCTACAATGGCCTTCCTCTCTGTCACTCTGACCCATAGAGGGAGAGAAAGCAACCACAGGCTAGGCAAGGACAACTGCAAAGAAAGCAGGTCCTAAAGCAGAGACAGGACCCAGGGCTGGGGTGAGTGTCATTTCCAATAGCTACCCTTGCTTTTCCACCCCTCAGCCAGCCTCCCCTTTGCCTTGTCTGCAGCATTTTGTGTCAGGCATGTGTTGTGTGCCCTGGCTCTTGCTCTGTCCCTAGGTTGCCCTCCCACAAGCCTTGACAGGGTTCCCTCCCTGGTGAACCCTGGAGCCCAGGAGGACTCGTTGCAAGGCTCTTTGGACCACCATGGTCAATTCTTTCCCCACCAGTTAACGGACACCAGGCTTTTGTCCTCTGCATCCTTTGTTTTCTCTGAAGCTCCGCTCCCTGTGATGGAAAAGGAAGCCTTCCCCATTTGTAAAGTCAACGACCGCCCCTTGTGCTGCTTCCCATGCCCTGTGTGAAGTCAGACTCAGTCAGACTGATCTTACCTCTCCCCTGCCCTGTGGGGCTGAGCTCCATGGACAAGAAGGGCAGGGGCCCTGTAGGTGCAGCAGGCCGTGTGTCCTAACCACCTCTCCCTTCATCTCCATGCCTGTTCCTGTGCTCACACTCACCTCAGCAACAGCAGCTCCTGTGGTTTCAAGTCAAGCTGTGTTACAAAGCACAAAGAAAACAGATAAAGGTACTGGGGTTAGGGATGTAGCTCGGGAATAGACCGTTTGCCTGGAGTGTGCAAGTCCCTGGATCTGCTTCCCAGCACCGGAAACAAACACAAGCATAAGACACCCAAGCCAGAACTCCCGCAGCAGCTCTGGGAGATACTGGAAATCAGGGAGCCCTGGAGATAAGGGGAGCCTTGGGTCTCTATAACCTGTTACACAGTATTCTACATGTTTGAGTGGAAAGAGCCCTAGCCACAGTCACCCACCACTACTCCACCCACAATGCCCTTTTTCCCAGAAAGAAACTACCGGAACCCAGACCTTTTCTCCCTTCTTTTAGACAGCACCATTCCGGATGAACTCCCACAGCCAGGTAATTAGTCCCCTTCCAGCACCCCACCTCACCCTTGCCCCCCTAGACGCTTGCTGACCCAGGAACTGTGTCCTGGCTATTTCAGCCCAATCCCAGCATTTTCCTATCATCTTGCCGCTTCCTGGATCCAGTGTGGACCAGCTCTGTGTGGATATACGTTCTAGGGAGGCTTTGAAGCTGTTTGAAGACCCTGAGCAGGGTAAGGGCTAAATCCCAGGTATCCACATAGAAATCAGACCCCAGACATATGACTTACCCCTAACCACAGCAAGGTACCCATCGTGGGCCCATGTCCCTTTCACCAGGAGCTCCTCAGGGTCACCCAGGATTGTCAGATGAGCCAAGAAAAGGGTAAGGGTGTCCCAGGCAGAGGAGCCAGAGCTGAGGAACACAGGTGCCCAGTGTCTCAGTACGGAGGAGGGGAGCCAGATTCCCACTCACTAATCCTGGAATGATCTCACTGATCAAGCCGAAGTGTCCTGGCAGGCACAGGGCTATACAGCAGTCATCAATGTTTGTGCTGACCTAAGTACTCTGGGACAGTCACAACTCCTTCATTCCTCTGAGAGCCACTTGGTCCACGTAGTGAGTGTGTAGGCCAGCCTGGGCTGCTAGGTGAGATCTTGTCTCAAAAATGGGGAAGAAAAAGGAGAAAAGCCAAACCTGGGGAGGAAGTATTGCTCAGTGGACTGAAGAGTGACCCTTCTGCTCCAGTGCCCAGAAAGACATAGTCAGGGAGCCCCCTCTCAGGCCATTACTCAGAATTGACTCTGAACTCTCTGGTCTGGTCTTCTTAGGGCTTTTTGTTGCTGGTGAGTATGGGAAAGGCGGGTTCTCATGGATCAAAGTGAACATCCAGAAGCCTCACCTGCATATCCACGCAACCCCTGAACGCTTGGTGGTGACACGGGACCGAAAAAACTCTGAGTACAAATGGAAGCAGACACTGTTCTTTGTATTACCTGGGTAAGTCCCAGGGTGGGGTTCCAGGTGTATGTGGCCTCTCAGGCTGTACCGACTGTGATGCTGGTGATAAGGGGTGGCCAGGGGCCACAGATGAAATGGTTGGTTATGAGTCCCCTATAGTGGGCTGCACTCCTGGTAGAATGGGTAAATTCCTAATGTCCTGGAAGCATTGTCCTGGGACCTGGACCTCATCACTAACCTAGGTCAGTAGACCATGGAAATATGCTGTGGTTTGGATCTAGCTTTGGAGCCAATCCTGTGTTCATAAGCCATACGATTCTTCAAGTCTTTTTTTTTTTCTCTTAGGAATCACTAGATAGACTCCTCCAGACTCGGTCAGAGGCCTGGGGGACCCATGGAAAGGAAGTCCATGGGCATGGAGAGGCAGATCATGACAGTGGGAAGTGTGAGAAGGAGCTAAGAGGTAGAGAAAGCAAAGGAGCACATGCCTGTCTAGCAAACGTTTTTTTCCTGGTTTTTTTTTTTTTTTTGCCCCTCTGGGCCCCTACCCTATTGTATGTTGCTACCTATATTCAGGTCAATCTTCCCTGATGAGTTGCTATCTAACATGCCTTTATGAACACACTCAAAAATATTTCTTTATGATCTCCTAAGTATTTCACACCCCATCAAAATGACAATTAAAATCAGTCATCAACCTATCTGAAGCTTTGGCAGGGATAGAGCTGTTTGTTTACCTGATATCACATGTTTGGAAGCTAGTAGGAAATGGAGGCAAACCGTGATTCTGGGGAGCATCACGGTCCCACTGTAGGCTTTTTGAAGACAGCTCTCTAGTTTGCTGAGTCACAGGAGGCTGAAGACCCTTTGCACTATGCCCTCTGTGTTTCCAGCTACTCCACAGCCTATCTTTTCCCAAGCAAAGGGTCCTGTGTGTTTCCATCTTGCCAGGCCTTTAGCAGGGCCTTGTTCACATTTGACAAGTAAGCAAACACACAGAAAATCCAGTGTGCTCACCTGAGGTCCTCCCAGTGTCACAATGTGGAGGTTGGTTTAATTTAGCAGCTTTCATAATTGAATGTGTTTTAGCAGCTATGGCTCCTTTCACAGCAGTCAAAAAAATCCAAAGACAACACAATAGCATACAGTATCCAGACTCTGTATTTTCTATCTTTACATGGCTTATTGTATTTTTATTACTCTAGTCCTTTTTTAAGGACTTTACCTTATTTTAAAACTGTAATTTTTTGTCTGAGACTGTACTCTTTCTCTCCTCTCTCGCTCAAGCCTGTGTATATTTTTAAACCTACTATAACCCATTCAGAGGTCTCCCTCATCTGAATCTGTATTTACTGTATATCTGTAACCTTTTTCTGCCTTTAAACTGGGGAATGCTTTTCTGTACTGAAGCCAGCATGAGAGACTGCAAGAATTTGCCACTTGGCTTATCTCATGGTACACTGGTGGCTGAAGCCCATAGGCAGCAGCCAGGAGACAGGTCCCTATACTGCAGCCAGCATGAGAGACTAGGAAATTGCTCTTGGTTCTGTTTCTGTGTGTTTAGAATTCTTTTTTTTTTTTAATTAGATTTTATGTGGGAATTCCAGACCTGTGTTGGAATGCCCTTTGTAGATGGACATTTCTTTCCTGATTGCCAGTTCCCAAATAACCAACACAGAAACTTAATGTCAACTATAAATTCTCAGCCAATAATAGCTCAGGCTTGTTAGTAGCCTCTCTATCCTGTGGCCCATGGCTTGTTGCCTCGTTTTCTACATGCCCTGTGTTCTCTGTGTCTGCTAGCATCTCCCCTGACTCTGCCCTTCTTCATCCCAGCATCCTTAGTTTGGTTTGTCCCATCTATACTTCCTGCCTGGCTACCAGCCAATCAGCTTTTTAGTAAACAAATTTGAGTGACAAATCTTTGCAGTGAACAAAAGGATTACCCCACAGCATTTCTCTCTTTTTGTCTAATTAAAAAGGAAGGTTTTAATTTTAATAAAGGGTATGGTTTTCTTTCAAGGTAAGCATAGTGACACCTTTTAATCTCAACAATAAAGAGGAACAGCAGGTTCTTCCTCTACTTGATGAGACAGAATGAGAAAAGACTTCCCCTACACATGTGAAAATGCATTGTTTAACATTAGTCATCTAAAACCGTGGCACCAGCTATAAAAACATAGGGATCAGGGCAGGTGTATGAGACTCTGCTGCTGCTGTGAGAGCAGAAACTCCAGGGAATATCTTAAGGGAGGGAGGATTTACTCTTTGCACATCAGAGGTTCCAGTCCATCAGGCAGGAGTGCATGGAGAACAGAGTAGCTCCAGCACAACAGCCCAGGGCAGAGAATGCCCACAAGAAAGAACTTTCTCCCTTTTATTCCATCCAAGCCCCAGTTTTTGAGATAGTGTGGTCCATGTTCAGAATGGGTCTTCCTTTAACCTCCAGAAATATCCCTTTAGATACATCCAGAGATGAATTTTACTAATATTCCAGGTGTTTCTCAGTCTGATCAAACTGACAATGACTGTTACCCATCACCCCCAATAAAAGCGTATAAAATTCATTTGTGAGAAACCAAATTTAAAACCAGAGGGAAGAAATTATAATTCTGTTTTATGAATGGTGCGATAAAAATCAGGCATCGTTAAGCTCACCTTGGTGCTATTCTCCCAGTGACAAAGCCGAGCCTAGGAGATTTAAGGGATTCTCTGCCAGAGGCCACACAATGACTTCCTGGTCGAGAGGAGAGCCCCCACCCCCACCCACCCCCTCAACACTTTTGTCCTGCCTACTGAGGCTCCACACAGGTGTCTCTTCCTTCCTGCTCAGGGTTTGGGATTTCTCTGCAGCTTGAAGATGACCATGGACAAGATGGGACTCCTACGGCTCAGTGGCCCAGACAGAGTGGACATTGCCCTCGTGCCCATGGATGAGCCTCAGAAGGGACTGATGCTCCTTGTGCATGACACTCAACACTTCTCCAACCGCACTTATGGGGAACTCGGTACTCCACTTGCCCTTAGAAACTGCCTCTGACTGAGCTCAGGCCGTTTCCTTGCACAATGTCCCCACCGCCCTCGCTGTCTGTATCCCTCACTGACCTACCCTTTTATCTCAGGTCGGTTTTACCAGGGTATCATCTGGGATCCACCAGTTGGATCAGATGACACAATACGGACACTCAGAGTTCAGGGAACAGAGTACTCTGCTACCAGGTAGGTGGGGATGAGGAGGGTGAGAGCTGGGATTTATGGATCTGCACTCTGGTCCCCTCGCTTGGGAACTAAAAACAGATGACAGGGTGTTTCAGCCTAGACTCACATAAAACACACAGGCTCTGGGCTGTGGGCAGTAGCATGTTCTTCTTCTCCCTTCCCCAGGGTCCCAAAGTCCTGGGCCCAGAAGACCTCCCATGCCAAGTCCCTTGAATAACCCTTAGGGCAAATGGGCCTTCCTGACCTGTGTCAGAGGGGATTCTGAGGGATGCTGAGTCTCCCTAGCTCCATGTTCATGTCTGCAGCTGTTTCCCATCTCTTTCATCTTGCCTGAGATGTGTTGACCACCTAGTTATATTGTTCTGTTATCTCCCACCCCAGACAGCTCAGATTGAAATACCAGGAAGGGTCCAAGGGAACAGATATTTCCTGCTGGACTGTGAAGATATAGGAAGAGTATTCCCTGCCATGCTGCCGTTGTATGCAGACACATGCCAACAGAGCCACCAGTGAGGCCTAGATCTCAATGGAGAAGAGGATTCTCACTTACCAGCAATAAAGAAGGGTGGTGTGAACCCAGGGACTTGGTGTCATGACTCCATGTGGCCAGGGTCCTGGGGGACTTAGGCTCCCAGCCTGAATATTCTGCCTCATAGAAAATTAGACTCTTTCACAACTGGTCTTCAGTAGCCTGGGGCGATTTTCAGCCCTACCTTTGCCTTTGTCACAGGAATATAAAGCCAGCCATTCAAAATGTCAATGCTGCCGCAGACTGGAGTGTGCTCCAGAAAGAGCAGAGTCCTGGCTACTTCGTGGTTGCCTGGGCCATGGGTGCCACCTTTGACTCAGGAACACTCCACTGGGTTGCACAGTTGTGTGAATGTGATGAATGTCTTTTATTGCAAAGAGGGTGCTGATGACAGATCAAAGAACGGGTTCCACCCTAGTCTGCTGCAGGGAGACCAACTTTCAGCAGCTTAGAGAAGCTGAAGGGAACTGTGGCGGGTTTTTTCCCCCTGAGGGTCAAGGTTTAGTTCTTGGTTTTCTTTTTCTCTCTTCCAGATGCCCTGTTTTTTAGCCTTACATTTTTCCCTTATCCCTTTTATTACGCTTAAGACAAAAATTTCTACATAAGAAAAGATTACCACAAGTTACGTATTTCTAACAAAAAAAAATTAAAATCTTTACATGAGACAAAATCACATTAAGATCACAATTACATGTTTTCCTTAGAAGCCCACAAGCAGTTAAACTAACCAGGCTGGTCTCAAACTCACAGAGATCCGCCTGCCTCTGACTGCTCCCCCCCCCCCCCCAGTGCTGGGATTAAAGGCCACAGCCACCACCTCCTGGCACATTGTTCTTTTTATCAGCTTTCCCCCCATAACATCTTCACCCCAAAGCAATGATTCTTTTATTACCGGTTAGCAAAGTTTGAAGCAAGCTAAACCAGCTGTTTCTGCACTGGCAGGCATCTGTTTGCAGTTTCAGGGTAGCAGATTTCTATTCTTAATTCTACTCTAGAGAAACTTTAAACAAGTGGATCAGCCAGTCATCTACTTTCCTGTACACAAAGTAGGGTTGTTTAATTTCTTTTTACAACCAGAGCCCTGAAAGACCCACAGAGCGTGGACTCTCACGCCCCAACTCAGGAAAGGCGCCCCCCCCCCAATCACTCATGAGAAGCGGTCTTGATGTAAAAGCATGAGGTCTTTTATATTCCAAGTGCACTGGGGTCCACAGTCATGCGCCAAGCTGGGGCAGAGGACTAAGGACCACGAGGGCGGAAGTAAGACAGCTTTTATAGGATTACAACAAAGCCCCTGCATCTTAAACCAATCATCTCATAGCATCCAGAGCCCATGCAATACAGACCAACCAATTTAAACCATCCAAGCCCGCACTTTATAGACCAATCAGTTTTCTGTAGCCCTGGAGGTTTGAATTCTCTCTGGTTCCTGGGTAGGGCAACAAAGCTCACAGGCCCTGTGAGTACAGCAAAGAATGTGGCCTTTTACCTATTTACTGGCTGAGGGCAGGGTCTGGAATTTAAGGTTTAAACTTCTAGCTTCCTGGGGTCATTGGAGAATTAGGCTGTATTTTTCCATCCTTACAGCCCGTGGTTAATTCTATAAGTGACATGACCAAGGGACCTCAGCCCTAACCTTGGGTGTAGGGACATGATTGTTTTCTATAACCATCAGCCTGTTTCCCCACAGGCAGAATCCATGGGTCTACAATGCAGGAAACCTCCTTGTTCTTATTTTCCATTCTCTGCAAATCTCACATCTAACAAAAGAGAAAGTGACTTCTAGCCCATGTTTGCCTTCTTTGTATCTCTTATTGGAACAATTGGAAGAATAATCTAAGTCTTGTCCCTGATCATCTTAACTGTCCTAACCATCTGTATCTTTTAGGCTAACTCAGAAAGTCTCATTAAATAATAGATCTAACTAATCATCTCATCATTGCTCTTATAAAATACATCTTCATTATGATCAGCAAGTAAATTGTCCAGTGAGGAGTGAGATTTTCCCAAGAAAAATCACACAATACATATGTAATCACACCGTGGCAAGGGGCATTCTGGAGACAATCTGCCCATGGCTTTGGCTATCCAGGATGCATCCATCATAACTTTGTTTTCTGGTGGAGTTTGTTCCATACAATCCATTGCTGACTGCAGCTCCTCAGACGTACCCACCAACACTAGTCTAGTTGGTAAATGTGCTTAGTGAGTATTTACAAAGGCATGGATGAGGGTTACATGCAAGAGCGTGTGTGACTCCGTGACTTCAAGGACACAGCATCACTGTAAAACCCACCCATCATGGAGGATGACTCAAGGTCTCATCCCTGGGGGCTGGAGAGCTGGATCTGTGCTTAAGAGCATTTGCTGTCTCTTTCTGAGACTTGGAGTTCAGTTCCCAGCCCCCAAACCCCACCCCCAGTAAATAAAAAGTCTTAAGAGGCTGGCTTAGCAGTTAAGAGCATTGGCTGCCCTTCCAGAGAACCTGGATTAGATTTCTAGCACTCACATGGTGGCTCACAACTGCCTGCAACTCCTTTTCCAGTGGGTCTGATGCCCTCTTCTGGTCATTATGCAAGCACTACACAGACACACATGCAGGCAAGACACCATACACAGAAAATAAAATGAAATACATTTTAGAAGTAAGTAAAAATAAAATAATGAACTCTTTTTAAAAAGTAAGAGAAAGAGTCAGATATGATGGCACACGCCTGTAACTGCAGTGCTCAGAGGCAGAGGCCAGCAGATCTCTAGTAGTTCATGGGGAGTTCCAAGTCAGCCAGAACTACATAGTTAAAAAAAAAAGAAAGAAAGAAAGAAAAGAAGAAGAAAAAAGAAAGACAAAAAGAAAGAAAAGATAAAACAGGAGATGGAAAGAGAGGGAGAGATAAAGAGAAATTTGTACCCTAGAGTTCCTTGCAGTTTGTAGTCCCTTCCACCAGAGTCCTCTCCCCTGGTGATTGCAGCCTGGGGAAGAAACTCGTGAACCTGTTGTTTTCTGAGCTTCCTAATATTTCCTTCTTCCCTCCTTCCTTCTCCCTCATCCCTCCTTCCTTCTCCTCCTCCCTTCTTCCTTTTCTCTTCTCTACCCCCCCCCCCCAAAGAAGAATGTTTCCTTCCTGAGGAATACCTACAACCTGGCTAGTCCAACTCCCAGACTTTCTCACTTTGGGGTCTCTTCCCAATGGGTTTGCCTTAGCTTGGTCTTCACACCTAGGTTCAGATACAGACCTATCTACCCAATGCTGGGTTAAAAAAAAACTACAAAACAATACTAGTGATGGAAGAAGACAGTGGAAAGGCCCAGGCCCAAAAGGCAAGCAAGGGCCTGCTTTTAGAAACCTCTCATCTGAGAGTGATGGGTCACTCAAGTCTTACATTGAGGGTTTCCTCTCCTGAGCAAGCCCCAGAGTTAGACACCCTGGAGATTCCACACAAAATATTTTTTAAATGTGTATTATAATGCAGGGCATGGTTGTGTACACCTTTAATCTCAACACTTGGTAGGCAGAGGCAGATGGATCTCTGTGAGTTCAAGGCCAGCCTAGTCTACTTAGCAAGTTTCAGGCTAGCCAGAGCTACATAGAGAGACCCTGTCTCAAAAACAAACAATAAAACAAAAACAGCCTTGTATGCAGTTCCTATGTATCATAGGTGTAGAATCCGCACTGAATAGATACACATTCCTCCTTGATACTATCCTGAACAGTACAGCATGGTAACTCCGCAGAACACTGTGTTTGGTGTTAGAAGCTTTGCCAGTGATGTGAGCCAGCGCTATGTGAGCACCACACTGTCTTATAGATGGGACTGGAAAATCCATGGGTTTTTGGTATCCCCAGGGTCCTGAAAACAACCAATCAGCTATAGATACCAAGGGACAACTGGACCCTACCTACTTCTAGAAAGAAAAAAAAAAAAGGCACAACCTGTGGCTTACAGACAGATATTGTAAGAAGAATAAAACCATGAGTATTAGAATAAAAGAACCAAGCAATAGGACAGTAAAGTCAGACACCAAAGTTGAGGAGGCTGCAGAAGCTTTGCCAGGATAAAACACAAAGCAAGCTAGCCAACTTGCTTCTTAGCAAAAGTGGTTTACCTTTTTTTTCATTGGAAAAATAGTCCCTGACAGCTCTTGAGCTATGGAGGGTATTGGTTAAACGAATCTCTCCAAGAGCGAGCCATCAGCAGTGGGGGAATTTCTGGCTGGCTTGCCCTTCCTGTGAGAACACTTGCCTGGCACTGCTGCTCCTCTACCCTGACTCTTTGGCAGGAACCTCACACAGAACAGCAGTGGACAAGAAAGCAGCCCAGGGTGGGGGACTCGCTGTGGGGCCAGAGACAGGTGAGCCTGCCCAGCCTGAGTTCACCCTTCTAGGACACAACCTCCCGGCCTACCCCAAGAGTCAGCGCAGGAGCTGTGGTGTCGAGAGTTGGCTGCCGGTACGTGCACCTGTATCTCCCTTTACTTCTCTACCCACTGGGGGTTGCTCCAGACCCTGGGTGCTCTCTAAGTTCTGTCCCCCACTGCTGTGACAAGATACTCTAAATCAACTTAAGGAATAAGGGTGTCTACGATGGTTTGACTCACAAGTTTAGGTCACAAAATCCCTCACTGTGGGGAGATTGATGTGTCAGGCACTTGACTTGGCTAATCACATTGAAATGGCTAAGGTGACACCATCTTTTCCTGGCTGTATTTTGTGTCTGCCTAGACAGCCTTATCTTCCCCTCTCCCATGTCCAAAAGCTGCATCTGCCTGGGCAACATTTTGGGGACTGTCTGTGACCCTGACCATAGTCCTGATGTAGTAACCAGAATAACAGATATTTGAGCAGGTAAAACATGAACATAACTAAGAGGAAGTGTAAATCAGAAAATAGTTGCCATGTGGTATCTGAAAAGTATCCCTAAGCTCTGCAAAAAGGGAATGTTGCTTTGATACCCCTTCCTCCCCCAACACTGATCTAATTGTGGTTCTTTTGCCTTTAAAAATACCCTACCCCTGAGCTCCAGTACCAAGACACTGTGAGGCAGGAGCCTGCTCCTGGACATGTGCTGATTGAATGACTTATGTCCTTTTAATTGGCTTAATTAGCATCATTGTCTGTCTTGTATGGGTCATGGCAACATCACTTCCACACTCCAGAGCAGAGAACAATAAATTAATGATTCACACCAGTGCTTGACTGGCTCCAGCTCTCCCTTTCAACCCAGGACCCAGCACAAGAATTGCCATGGCTTCCAGAGTGCACCTTCCCACTTTGATTAAACCAATTAGGAAAATCCCTCATTGCCAGGTGGTAGTGGCACACCTTTAATCCTAGCACTTGGGAGGCAGAGGCAGGTGGATCTCTGTGAGTTTGAGGCTAGACTGGTCTACAGAGTGAGTTCTAGGACAGCCATGACTGTTTCACAGAGAAATCTTGTTTTGGAAAAAAAAAAAAAAAAAAAAAAAGGAAAGAAAAACAGAAAATCCCTCATAGGCTGACCAATTCCTAGACAAGTCTTCACCCAGACTTCCTCACAAGTGATTCTGATTGTGTCGCTGTGACAGAACTAACCTTGACAGACACTTGCCCATCCTGGGGATGTCAAGAAAGGCTTCCTAGGGGCGACTCTGAGGAAGGAGGGCAGGGACACCCATGTGGAGGGAGCAGCAAGAGCCTAGGCCTAGAAATGGGACACCGCACTGCATTCTGGGTGAGAAAGGGCCAGGCCAACCCAGGTGCATACCCTTCATCTGGAGCAAGGCCTGTCTGATGTCTGGCTGTCAGCAAGAACAGAGGAGCCAGAGTGCTGTGGAAGGGGGGAGAGGACACAGCCTGCCTAGTTGTTGTCTGAGTGGAGGCAGCCTGCTTGTGTGTTGAAAGAGGGGCAGGATTTGGGCTGAGTTATTTCTCCAGCCTCCTTCCCACATTCACCCTGGATCATGGGAAGTTTGGGAACTATGTCATATACCCTCTCTCCACAGTGGTAGTGGCCAAGAGTTACCTTCCCTCCCTCCCCTTGGCCAGTGTGAGCCCTGAAAAGTCATCCTCTGACCCCAGAAGTGGGGAGTATCTGTGGATCTTCTGTAGTGAGAGATATGACAATTCTTGTGACCTATAGCCACATGATACCTCACACACACACACACACACACACACACACACACACACATGCATTCTGCATCCAAGATGTTCCCCATAGCCACATGCTACCTCCTATACACAGGCAAGCACGCCCTCACATGCCTGTGCACTCTACATCCAAGATGTTCCTCAGTTTAATTTCTAACTCTAGCCCTATTGTGCCCCCTGATTGGCCATCTAGAAGTGACCCACGGGGTCCTCCAGGATCCTCTGCCCAGCATCCCTTGGGCTTTCAGAGAGGGAGGCAAAGAATCTAGGCAGGACAATCATATTACAATTAGAAGCAACCTGTGTGTCTGGAAAGTGAATGATGAAGAGAAACACCTGATGTCTGCACAGAAAGTAGAGAGATTAGAAGAACATCTTCCATCCCCAGAGCGATGAAGGGGCTGTCCTAGTGTATGGTAGGGCAAGCATCTGCTGTGCTCTATTCAGAGCTCCATAAAAGTCCAAGCACTCGGGCTGGAGATGTCTTCGATTCCTTCTCTAGGAACCTCTCTCTGCCTCCCTCATGCACCCCAGGTTCATTGGGAGAGAGAAAGTGACCACCGTGAGGTGACTGGAGCATCCCAGCACGTTGCCACATTGAAGGCAAACCTTGGCAGTTGTGAAAATAGGAACTATGTTATATGCCTGAGACCTTGGCCTAGGGTCTGGTGCCTGTCTGGTGAATCTGAGGGGGCCTGGGTACATGGGGTGAGTGAAGGGATTCATGAGTAGGTGGGGAGTTGAGTAGATAGGTGGTGCTGTTTTATGTCTGGAGTATCACCAAAAACCTATGTGCTTACATCTTGGTCACCAGCCTGTAGCCTGAGAAGGTGACGGATCCTGGAGAAGCTTGGGTATAGTGGCGGGAACTTGCCCTTGAAAGGAACACTGTATTCTCTCTCTCTCTCTCTCTCTCTCTCTCTCTCTCTCTCTCTCTCTCTCTCTCTCTCTCTCTCTCCCTTCCTCCCTCCTTCCCTGCTCCCTCCCCCTCTCTCCCTGTCTCCCTGAAATAGGATTTCACAGAGCCCAGGCTGGCCTTGAACTTCTGATCATCCTGCCTCTACCTCCCAAGTGCATCTGTTCCTCCTCTTCCCCTTCTTCCTCCTCCAGTTACTATTTTTTTTTTTTTGTTTTGTTTTGTCTTTTGAGGTACATGCTTGTATGTACCTAGGTTGGCCAGCAACTCTCTATATAGCCTAGACTGACCTCAATTTCCTTGCCTCTAACCCCCAGTCCATGAACTTACAGGCCTGTGCCACCATGCCTGGCTCTTCTGTTTTCCTTTTGGGCTACCATAAGGTAAATAGACTTTTGGCTGGTACATACTCCACCCATGATGTCTTGTACCACCATACTACCATAGTGTCAGAGCCAGGCGCAGGTTATCCTCAGAAGCTGTGAGCCAAAATCAATATTCCCTCCTGTTACTGTGTAAGTAGGAACTGTCCTCCATAGGTGATGGGAGAGGTCATTCTGTAAATATGTTTCTCTTATTGGTTAATGAATAAAGCACTGTTGGCCTATAAGGAAGCAAGATGGTGGGACTAGGAGACAAGGAGGATTCTGAGAGATGTAGTAGAGAGGTGTCAAAATGTAGGACATGAGAGAAGAGGTCTGGAACCTCTCTCCGGTAAGATAAGAACACGTGGAAACACTTAGATTGATAGAAATTAGTTAATAGATAAGACAGAGCTAGCCAATAAGAAGTTCTAGCCATTGGCCAACAGCTTTATAACTAATAGAGTCTCTGTGTGTTATTTTGGAGCTGATGCAGCTGTGGGACCAGGCTGGTGGGAAACTGCTTGTAACACATAGGCTCGTGTTTGAACACTCCGTCCACCAGACAGTAGCACTGTTGGAGGAAATCATAGAAACTTTAAGGGGTGGGGCCCAGCTGGGGGAAGCAGTCACTAGAGGGCAAGTCTTCATAAATGAGGCCAGACAGATCTGCTTCTGATTGATTCTGAGACCTGAGGAAGCCCTAGTGCCAGCTCCTACCACCATGTCCAAGGTAATCCCAACTACCATGCCTGCCCCACTGTGATGGACTGTACCCTCTCAAGCCATGAGCCTAAAAGACCCTTCCTCCCTTGTCATGGTGATGACAAGAGGAGCTCTTGAGCGAGCCATGACCCCCGACTTAAGACATCCCTGGGTTTTAAACTTCATGTCACCTTTCCTGATGTCTCAGAGGCCCTTTGCCCCAGCATCAATGTGGATTCCCCAAGGTGTCACCCCACCCAAGTCTGTCCCACACCTTTCTCAACTGAGAGTCCCCACCACCAGGTTGCCTCCTAACAGCCACACCCTCTTTCCCTGCTTTCAGCCACCTGCTTCTTATGAAGCAGGCTCGTGAACTCAGAGACTAATAGCTGTCTTGGTTTACATGGACTTTATTGTTCCGGTCCTTCCCACAAGCCCCATTCTGGGCACTTGCTCCAGACAATCCAGGCCGTCTACTTCAGCAGTGGGGTGGCATGTTACTCAGAACAAGCTGGGGACAATGTAGTCGGTATGGACACCATCAATCAGCCCTTCCCCATTGTTATGGACAAACCAGCAGATGACTTTCATGCCAACACTGGCATCCTTCCTGTAATCTTTCTGGGAGCCCCTGGGAAAAAAGAAGGAGATGCTATAATGCACAGGGTGAGCAACATGGCTGTGAGCATCATGGGCCTAAGGTTGGGGGAAACTTTTGAGTCTTGTTTCTGTGGTTCTATCGTGCTAGGATTAAATCCAGAGCCTCACTTTTCCCAGGTAACTGCTCTGCCACTGAGCCACACCCCTGCAACTAGCTCCTGACATGGGCTTTTTGTTTGACCTTTTAATGTTTAAGGCAGGGTCTCCTGTAGCCTAGGATGGCCTTGAACTTGCTGTATGGCCAAGGACCTTGAACTCCTGATCTATCTGGTCCACTTCCTAAGGGCTGAGATTGTAGGTGTATGCCATCATGCCTGGCTTGAAGTGAAAGAGCCCAGTGTTCTTTCATCAAGAATGAAGTCATGGGATTGCTCTTTCAAGGGGCCACCTCCACTATTCCTTGGTTAGAAGGAGTCTAAAAAGGCCAAGACCTCAAAAAGAAATGAGGGTCCCCATAGAAATCACGGGCCCACCAAACAAGGTGCCATGCACAGAGGGCTCTTCTCCCCCACCCCACCCCACCCCCCATCTTGGTACTGGGTGGAGTGAGGGTGTCAGAGAAGCCACCTCACCTTGTGACAGTCAGCCGATGGTTCTTCACGAGCATTGTGGCGTCTGGCTTTGTGGGGTCAGAGCCTGGGCGGATGTCAAACACTTCAAAGTCAAAGGGGCGAAAGAATTGGCCTGTGAATGAAAAATATTAGCTGTCAGCCTCTGCCTGTTTGCCATGGTGACATGGCCACCGGCCTTTCAGGATTGATGCAAAGGCTGAACGGGCGTGTTGTGAACTGGGAACAGGGTGGCTACGCGGCTTTGTACATCTATTTCCAGGGCTTCCATGTGACTAAGCAATGTGCGGTCTGAGTATTGCATACCCAGCAGCCCATGTGTCTGTGCTGACATCCGGTGACTGTCCACCACGTAGAACCCTAGGAAGTTCTGGTGAAGTGGATGTTTCTTCCAAACCTGGTGTAGGACGATCACAAAGTTAACCCCATCTCCAAAGGAGACTACCATGTTCTTCTTCCTGTTGATTGTCACAGACAGCCTAGGAGAGAAGAGGGGGCACAGGCAGTGAGGCCATCTGAACCAAGGGCATTTCAGCAAGGCCTTCGAGCACAGGTCCCCTGGGGCACACAGACACCAAACACCACCAACATGCCATCCATGCCCTCCAAGGGTGGACCTCAGTCCCTCTGTGGCCAGGAAAGAGGCCTAGGAACCCAGGGGCCTGGGTCCAGCTCAGGCTGTGTGGTCCTGGGAAGGTCGTACCATCTCTGAGCTGCGGGGTGCCAGTGCTCTTGCCCTTCCTACTAAGTTCTAGGGATTGAAAAACCAGGAAGCACTAAGAAGCTTTGGGACTAGCAGCATCGGCAACAGAAGATGCAAAAAGGATTGTTGTTGTTACTTAGTCCATTTCACTCTTCTTCTTCCTTCCTTCCTCTTCCCTCCCTCCTCCCTTCCCTTCTACCTCGTCTCTCCCCTCCCTTTCCTTCTCCTGCTCCCTTCCTTCCCTTTCTTACTTATTTTTTAATTAATTTAAAAATATTTTAAAATTACTTTTCATACAGTATATTTTTTATCATGTTTTCCCTCTCTCATCTCTTTCCAGATCTTCCCCACACACAATACATTCTCTCCCTCCTCTCTCCCCAACATACACACAAATAAATCAATGCACAAAACAAACACAAACAAGCAAAAAAATAAAACAAAAACAAAAGATCCACAAGCAAAACAAAACATGGAGTCTGTTTTGCATCAGCTAACTACTCCTGGGTGTGGGGCTGCCCTGGAGTTTGGCTGATGTGCCCAGTGACATTACACTGGAGAAAACCCATTCTTCCTTTGCCATTGGGTATCAATTGCAAATAGCTTCTTAGTTAGGGGTGGGGCTTTGAGTCCACTTCTCCTCCTCAGTGCTGGGACCCCATCTGGCTTGGACCTGTACAGACCTTGTATGTGTTGCCACCGTCTCTGTGAGTCCATATGCTAGCCTGGAATTTGCCATGGAACCCATGCTGACCTGGAACTTGTGGTATCATCCTGGTTCTGTCTCCCAAGTACTGGGATTATACATGTTTGCCATCACACCCAGCCATCCGTTCTGTTTAGGAATGGGTTGTTGCTTGGGCTGGTAAAGTGGCTCATTGCATAAGGGTGCTTTCTGTGCAAACCTGGTGGTCTGAGGTCAACCACCAGAATGCAACTCACACAAAAGGAGAAAACTGACTCCACAAAGTCCTCTCTTACCTACCCACATGTGTTGCAGCAGGAGTCTTGCCATGTTGCCAAGGCTGTTCTTAACCTTGTGGCTTCATGCAGTCCTTTGACCTTAGCCCTCCCAAGCAGCTGACTGTGGGCCACTGTACTTGGCTTCTATATAAGGCTTTCATCCAGCTAGGGTTTCCCTCAAAGTGAGTCCTGTACACTGTCCAGGTACACACTTGAACTCTGAAGGGAATCCCAAGGATTGGTGCCCGAGCCTGTGGTTGCCATCCTGTGGTAACTGAATTCAGGCCATCACTCTCTCCTGTGACCCCGGTTAGTGCCCCTCCAGTGTTCCCCTGCATCCTCAGGCTGTAATTGCCCTTGGAGAGAGTCTGTATTCTCACCCAGTCTGTGTGACTGTGACTGTGTCTGTGTCCAGCCAGCTGAATGTGCTCAGTTCGTCTCCAGTTCCCAGGATGATCTTCTCTGTGGTCACCTCAATCCGGAAGTCCATCCAAGCATTGGTAATGCCCAGTTTTCCAAAATAGGTCTTCCCTGTCCTGGAGTAAGAGCTACTTCCCTTGTCTCCAATGATCTGTCCAGTCACAGTGATGCCTGCCGAGAGGAGGAAGGGGAGAGACTAGTGAGGTTCTCCAGGCCCATGCTGGCCTGTAGAGATGTCTTCTCCTTCAGTGAGGCATGCTGAGGGGAAGCAGAGGCAGGGACTCATGGAAACACAAGGGGTCAGAGTCAAATCCTGGTCTAGAAGCTCAGGTCCAGAACATGCTGGGACATCATGGGTCTTCCCTCTTCGCTGGGTCAGGGAGTGTTGTGAGAGGAAAGCCTGATCCCCATATACAGGCTGGTTCCATGCTCAGGGTCAGGCTGCCAACATTTCCACCTCTTTCTGATAGCACCAAACACTTAACGCATCTGACTCTTTGGTAGTTCCCACCTCCCTCGTGTAGAATGTTCTGTGCGTGAAGGTGGATAATTACCAGGCAGAGTGAGGAAGACCCTGTCCATGAACTCACCTGGACACTCAGATCCTGACAAAAAGACCCCAGCCTGTAGCCCCACCTGTGACTGGGTCCTCAATAAGGCGAAGCACGGTGCCAGGCTTCTCATCAATGTTGAAGCAGATGGTGTCATTTTTTCCCGGGACTTGGATGATGAAGTGAGGGTCCCCGTCCACTGAGAGCACATCAGAGAAAGGGCTGGATCCAAGGGCCTTTCTCTGTACCACAGGCCTTCCCAGGCCAACTGGCCCTGTGTGCAGGAGCAAGGCACCCATAACCCTGCACCTAGACCAGGGAGGAGCCAAGGAACTCACCATAATAGTAGGGGGTTGGAAGAGACTGGTGGCTGGCTACGGAACAAAGGGAGACCAGATTGAACGTAGCAAGCTGCCCTGGAGAGATCTGGGGCCTCCACTCAGAATTTGGCTGATCCCCCAGTGATTTCACTCCCTCTTTGCCCTCCACCAGCATTCAACCTCCCAGGACACCTGGTCAGTCTGCCTGTGACAAGGTTGATTTGGAACCACTACCAAAGGGATCAGTGCAGGGAAAGCTCTCAGTGGTGGGCAGGGCTGGTTGCAGCAAGCAACATTTACTCACTCAAGTAGGCCATGGATGTGGTCCCATAGGGGGCTAGAAAACACCAATGGGCAGTCATGAGCAATAGCTAAGGGCTTCCCCCTCCCAACCATGTGCTTTCTTTCAGCCTGAGGATACTGGTCCCCGCTGGAGCCTTAACATTGGCAAACATGCCCAGGCATCCCCCTTTACAGGGCTGTTGGTAGTAGAGTGTCATTTAATGCTAGGAGCATATTTTGATGTGGCTAAAATGCAACTCTATCAAGTCATCAGCCTCCCCGTTGTGAGCAATGTCCATAGACCTCTGTCCCTACCCTTGAACCCTGTAATACTTAGATGGGATGGGGTGAGGCCAGTCCTATTGTGTCTGTCCTTGGTGGTTGGTAGCTCCTAACACATATGCGCCAGTGATTGCATCCAACACGGCTTCTCCGAGGGGAAATGGTGGCCTTGTGCTCCACAGAAATTTGAGTGGCAGCTTGGCAGGGGCTGAGTCTTGCCATGTTCTGATTTTACCATGAGAGAACTGTGGAGTGCCCTGTTTCCTGGAGACTTTCTGCATGGACACGACCCGAGCTGCCTAGGCCTATGTCCCAGATCAGCTACTGTTCAGCCCTCTTTGGTATTGTGCTCTCACTATAAAATGAGAGTTGTAAAGGACTCCTGTGAGGGTTGCTGGAGGTCATGGAAAAGCACTAAATCACAATTGCTCATTTTTGTACACAATAGGACACTGCCAGTGATTGGTCCATCTTGAGACAGGGAAGCCATCTTCAACCAAAGAGTGGGCCCTTGAGATTCTGAGGAGTGAGCCTGAAAGCTCCCTTCAGTCTGTCTCCCTCCCTTCTCCTCCCTCCTTCCCCCCGCCCCCCCACCCTCCATCCATCCCATGAAACTTACCTTCTAATGTGCAGGCACAGTGAGGGGAGGGGAAGAAAGATGCATTAGACGTAGACCACTGACTGGGGCCATTACAACCAGTGACAATGGGCCCTGGCCTGGCTTAGGCTAGCTTTGTCCCCATAGGATGTCCCCAAAAACCAAGAACTCCTAGAAATCAGAGACTGTGCAAAAAGAGGTCTTTGACCCCCATGCCTCCCAGTGCCAGGCTCCCCATGAAGTTGCTGCACACATTTGGAGCTCCCCTGGTGAGTCCAGTCTGGGGTCTTATCGAGGATGTTTGGTTTCAGTTTCCAACTCTTAGGACCTCTTTTTTTCCCTCACAGATCCCAGGTCCCCGGTATTTCGTCCAGGTATGCACTTGGGGTTTGAAGAAGGAACCCTCCTATGTTATAGCTGAAGTCCCTTCCTTGACATGGCCCTAGACAGTGCGCTCTCTTGGCTTACATCCCTTGAAAGACATAGACGCCGACTGGCCCACGCCCCATGCCTCTGCTGACCACTTCCCTCTTGCCATACCCTTCAGATGCTTCCAAACCAGTTTCTCTGCTTGGATTCTAGGGTGCAGGGTCTAAAGTCTAGCCTCCTCTCCCTGTGCCCACCTTCCCCAGGCTTGTCAGCAATGGATGTCTGATCCTCGTTGTCCTCAGGCTTGGTCACCACCATGGAGGTCAGCGGAGTCACAAAATGGTACTTGAGGGACAGCTCCAGGGCCTGGGCTGTGAGGTTTGCCTTCTCCTCCCCATGGGCGTTCTTGCTATGAAGAGAAAGAGCTCAGAGAGTCAGCCCAGAACACAATGTCCTTCTCCAGAATCTCCAGGGACATCTCAGGAATGGTCCCCATCCCTGCCAGCATACACATACACACACACACACACACACACACGCACGCACGCACGCACGCACGCACGCACGCACGCACACACACACACACACACACACACACTCTACATTGTTGATCCTGCTCAGTGGAGCTCACTGAGAGGAAAATACCAGTTCACCAGCTAGCTCCCTGAAGCATATGGACAAACTGTTTTCTCTCTAGGAGTCAGTTTCTCTACTCATAAAATACAAGGGACGTGACATGGCTACATTATAATCGCTTATGATAATAGCTGTATGCCGAGCACTTGGCCTGTGCCAAATTTGCTGGGGCTTTGTAGCTTTGTTCTTCCTAAAGAAACTCTGGCATTGCCCTGTCAAGGATGCCCTCTGGGTACTGGGGCTTGTCACCCTCCCCTCCCATGTTACTGCTATTCAGCCTCCCCATCACTGGGTGGTGCTGATGGGAGAGCAAGAGCTGAGGCCCTCCCATGCCCTAGAAGCATTCTCCAGCCCCTGCTCTTGGCAGTGCTTGCAGGCTTGAAATGGCAAGCAGGATCCAGGCAGTGGTGGCACATGCCTTTAATCCCAGCACTTGAGAGGCATAGGCAGGCGGATCTCTGTGAGTTTGAAGACAGCCTGGTCTACAGAGTGAGTTCTGGGACAGACTCCAACCCTGTCTCAAAAAAAAGAAAAGGCAAGCAGGGGCAGGACACAAGGAAACTTTCTTCTATTTTTTAAAATTTGGGCCAAGAAGAGGGCAGAGTGGCAAGAATGCTCATGGGGCTGTCCTTCCTCAGTGTGTGGCTGTCTTACTCCTCTGTCCCTATCAGAACACAGCCAGGGGGGTGGTGGACAATAGACAGCTAGATATCCCTCAAGGCGAGGGTAGGCCAATTCACCGTTTCTCCAGTAACTGCTCAATAGTGAGGTAGGCCCAGAGCCGCTCGATGTAGTTCCCAAAAATGTAGCCTTGCTCCTTCACAGCTGCATCCATTTCCTTCATGTCTACCTCCTCTGTGAAGGTCAGGTCGTTCAAGGCCTGGTAGGAGTAAGTAAGGGACTTGAGACCTGGATCATACGGTTAACATGGGACAGGCTTAGAGGATGCCACTCCTGGACCATCTGTAAGAAGGCTGGGGCCCATCGCTGCTGACCCCTAACTTCCAGCACAGCCCAGCCATCCATTCCCACTCACCCCATGACCCTTCACATCTGCTTTAAAGTTGTTCATGTTGCTGTCCACCAGGCGCCCTGCTACAATAATCTCAGAGCCATCATAGAAGTGGGGGTAATTGTTTTTGGTAAGGTCCAGGATGGCATTCTCGGGATAATCCACCTCCACATTCGTCAGCAGTGGGTTGGCTACCTCCTCATAGAAGCCCTGTAAGTCAGATCGGAACCCAGTCATCTCCGACTCCCCAGGGTAGACATGGAGAAGCCTGGAATAGGTGGATCTCACAGATTCTGTGTGGTGGCATTTAGTCTCCAAGGGCTGAGCCAATCCCTTCCCCTGATCTTCATTTCTAAGTGTCCCTGACCGTGCCCTAGATTCTAGAAGAGTCCTCCCTGTCCTGCCACTCCTAAAGACAAGAGAGGATAGGAGCAAAGGACAGAACTCTTGGCACAGAACTTTGAATAAAGAAATATTAGCCATAGAAAGTAATGTGTTAGGTGGGGAAAAGCCCTGTGGTCCCCTATAAATGGAGGTGCTGCCAGCCACCTGGGGGGGGGAGGTGAACAGTGAGACACAAAGTTACACTTGGCTAGCAGATATTTTTAAATATTACTTTAGTATATAAAGGTCTGTTATGGGTCAAATTGGTACTGCATTTCCCACAGCCCTTTTGTTGTCCTAATCCTTAGATTGCAACCTTATTTGGAGGTAAAATCTTTACAAAGATAATCCAATGATGTCATGAAGTTGGGCCCTAATCCAACATGCCCTGTGTCCTTATAAAAAGAGGAAATTGGATGCAGGCACACCATGAAAGAGTGCATGGGAAGGCCCAGGGAGAGTAGGACCACAACAAGTCAATGGGGTGAGGGGGGTTGTCTAGGGGCTGGAGAGATGGCTCAATGGTTAAGATCATTGCTTTTCCAGAGGACCTGGGTTCAATTCCCAGCACCCACATGACAGCTCACAACTGTCTGTAATCTCAATTTCAGGAGACCTGACACCCTCAGGGGACATACATACAGGCAAAGCATCAATGATCATAAAATAAATATTTTAAAAATCAAGAAAATATTTAAAAAAAAAAGAATGGAGACTTATACAGAACTCTTCCTCAGAGACCACCAAACCCTGTCACCTTGATCTCATACTTGTCGTGTGAGGCAAGTGTTTCTGTTGTTTAAGCCATCTCATCAGTGGTCTCATACTTTTTTTTATGGCAGACTCAGTAAACCATGGTCCTGTGCAATACTGGGACATATTTACATAAAAGTTTTTCATTGCTTATGAGACATATACTTTTAATTGGATGTCTTATGTTTGATCTGCCAGGCCTGTGCAGGAAGCAGCTCTGCTTTATGGAGATTAGAATGAGGGGTAACCAGAGGTAGATTTCAACAGAGAGAAAGCTCCTTCTAGCATCTGGGGTTGCTACATGGTGGAAATAGCTGCCAGGAAACAGCTGCCGGTGAGGCGAAGCATACCTGCAGCTGCAAGTTGGCATCAGAATCTTCATAAATGCGCCGGGCAAGCCCGTGGTTCTCCAGGGCCATAGTCTCCAGGAAATTATAATTCAGATTGTTGCCAAAGCCCAGGTTATACAAAGGGAACTTGCCCTCAATGGCATTCCGGACATTCTCCTGGATTTTTTCAGGTCTGCTCTCACCTGTAAAAAATGCTGTTCATTCTGGAGACCAATCTACACCAGCTCTGCCCAGGGAGATCCGACTGTAAATGCATAGCTGGCAGGGAGTCTTGGCAAGGAGAGGCGTGCATCTGCCTTTGAGGGGCTCACAAGATGCTGGGGGACCCCAGGAAAAGATGTCTAAGATCTTACAATGAGCCAACTGCAGAGTCAAGAAGGTACTCAGCAGGCACTCACCTTGGGTTCAAACCTCCCTCTCCCTCACCAGTATTGGCATCCCCGTCTGTCAACATGATGATGATGGAGGTGCTCCTCTCGGGGACAATGTGCTGCTTCTGGGCATCTGTCAGCATATGGATGCCCCTCAGCAGCCCATCATTAATGTTGGTCACTGTACACAGACAGAAAGACAGAACCATTGGGGTTGGGGGTGTCCCTAGGACGCCAGTGTACAAGGCTGTATCATGAAGGAGAATGGGAGGTCAGACACTGCTCTTGTACTAAGGACTGTGTCAACCTGTACATGGAAGTACTCAGTAAATATAAGTGGATGGACAGTGTAGACTTTCACACAGGCATCAAAGGGGTCCTAAGAGCTTCTAAGCCTGTAATGATTGTAGCAATTTGGCAAGCAACCAGATGGAGTCACCAGAAATGGAAGGGAAGTGATAAAGATGTCATGTTTGGCTTCCATAGGAAACAAAGTCAAGAAGGCTTCCCTGTGGCCCTATCATGCTGAGACTTATGAGCACCAGGAAATACTAAGAATGGGTCTCCCTAGGCTGCACAGAAGTCACACTGATGTCCTGTCTTTAAGCTTGAGATCTACATCGAGGGAGAGGTAAGCCAGAGACAGGCTGCTGGTGCAGATAAAGGAACAGACAGAACGCGCATCTGTGCCCCAACCCTTACTTCCTTGATCACGGATATTCCTCACAAATGTCCTGGCCTCTTCAAGGTTTGCAGGAGTGGCTTGAACTAGGCTATCTTTCCAGGTAGTCACATCCGTGCTGAACAGAATGAAATTCAGATAGTCATCATGTTTCATGTCATCCAGGATTTTGAGAAGGGCATCCCTGGTCTGGGGAAGAAGGAGAGAAACAGACCATAAAGCTGAGGTATGAGACAATGGTGAGCCAGGCTGCTTCCCAGACTAGACTGACTGCGGAGCTCCCACTGTCTTTATAAGTAAGCATTGCTCTAGGCCCCCAACTCCCTGTGAAAGTGGGTAAAGGCTTGAGTATTCTTACATTCTGTCCCATTTCTCCTTTTCCTCCAGAAATACTAGCGTTTTCCCACTTAAGAAAAAAGAACTTCCCAGCCTAGTCTACAGAGTGAGTTCCAGGACAGCCAGAGCTGTTACACAAAGAAACCCTGTCTCCAAAAAAAAAAAAAGCCAAAAGAAAACAGAACAACCCCCCAACAACAACAAACAAGCAAACAAAACTCTCTTCTTCCTTGCATTTCTACACCCCAGTGCTGCCCTAGGTATTGGGAGGGGGCAAACCTGCTGGATTTTCCGCCCAGCCATGGAGCCGCTGATGTCGATCACAAAGACTATATTCTTAGGCACCACTGGAAGGCCTTGGGGTGCGAAGAAGTGCACAAAGTAGCCATTGACTACCTGCAAAGGTGGGAGAGACAGGAGGCCAACGCCCAACTTAACAGTGCCTCTTCTTGCAAGTAGAAGTCAGAAGTTTGTCACTGGAGGGAAAAGTGTCCCATTTCCACTCTCCAGATGGAGGAGAGGGTTGTAGCTGCAGCCCCTTAGGATACAGGGCCTCTGCCCACCAGGATGATGAATTAGCAGGCCTAACAGAGCCATTGACCTATACCTGCACGTTGCCTGGAGACTCTCTGTTCACGTCATAGATGATGGTGAAGTCCCCGTTGAGGAGGGAGTCTGTACACGTTGGGCATGAGCGCTGTTGGTCTAAGCTGGGCTTGAAAGACACATGTCCCTGGAGGGGAGGAGGGAAGAGACCTTCTCAGCTTGGTCAAGGCTTCCCACTGGCAGATGAGGGGGGGAGCTCTGATAGCACGGAGGTGAGAGCCTGGTGTGAGTCAGATGCCAGTTCCCCAGGGATGAAGCTGCTTCCATGCCCCACCTCTCTGAATGCCTCCCTCCCTGGCAGGGTGGGGGTGTGGGGGGTGTGAGGGGTCGCCATTTTCATTTAGCCATTCCTCTCTCTTTTGGATGCCCCATCCTAACCCTTAAGCTTAGCACCAGAAGTTACTTGGGCATGGGAACGTTGCCCTGGACGAGAGATCATTATTTTGAGTGGTTTTGCACACTGGAGTTGGTACCCAAAGGAGGTGGAGAAGGACAGGAACTGGGAAGAGCATGCTAGAGTGAAAGAGACTAGGACAACACCCCGGGGCCAGCAACTCTCCTGAATGTAGGCTCTCTGAAAGTCTCTCTCATAGAGCTTAGATTACTGAGATTTGATGTTTCTGTTTTCTCATCCTTTTCCCATCAGCACTGGGATTCTGCCCAGAATAGCTGCAGGGCTCAGTCAGTGGCTGGAGCCAACTGCCCAGCACTAAGAATTGCATTCTCTTTAATCCTCCATCCCTTAACGGGGAGTCAGCAATCAGTATCTTGATTTGCATCCCCTTCCCTGTCCATTTGCCAGGGTAGAATGGAACTGGACTTCATAAATACCTTCCCTTCCCCCTTTGTTCTGGTAGAGCTGAGACCCCAAATCCTCTATCTGGTCAGCATCAGCCCCCTGCCTCCATAATCCTCCTTGATGACCCAGTTGACTGAGGAGACAGGTAGTGTCACAGACAGCCATGCTGAGATCAGCAAAGTCAAGGCTGATGTCCTACCCACTGCACTCCAAGCCCCAGAGGTATCTACCCCACCTTTTTCCCTGAGAAGGACTTGGTGAGGGCGCTTCCCAGGAGGTCATTAGTGATGAATGAGGCCTCAGCATCCAGCATGCTGATGCCCTGTGGCTCAAAGATGTGTGCATCAATCTGAAATGGTCAAATGAAGGAGGTGTCATATTGGGACCATGCAGAGGTAGGGACACAGCCAAAGCGAATGCCTGTGATAATACAGCGACCCTCAAAGACAATAGTGAGGGCTACTAGGAAAGTGACCACAGGAACTGTTAGAAAGGTTTGGTGGCACAAAACATTTCCATCATCATCTGCTATTTATCTCAAGTTCCACAACCACGGTATTTACTTTTCCGTTTAGCCTTGATGTAGGTAAAATGGACCAGTTGCAAGTGTTCCAGAAACACTCTGTGATACAATCCTCAAGGGCCCCAGCACTAAAGCCTCCCCCCTTGGCTCCCAGTGGCTGGAGAAGAAAAGCCATTGTGCTTTTTCCAACGCCCTTGGCCAAGTCCAGGGGCCGGGACTTGGAGATGCATCCTTGGCTCTGCCGTGAGATTTACCCCTCCTTCTGCAACCCCACCCACTGCCCTTCACTATGCTCTTTGTCCAGGCAGGGGATGCAGGTAAGGCTGCTTACCTCAAAGTGTCTGACCAGTTGTTTGGGTTGGACCTTAAGGTACATCTCGTACTTGCCCTTGTTCCTCTTGAGCAGCTCTTCATAGGTTAGCTCAAAAGTGACCCTGCTTCCCGCAGCCACATTAACAGACACTGTGAATTTCTCCAGTTTCCTCCCAGAGGCCCTGGGGGGAGGGGGATGCAAGGCAATTCTTAGCACAAAGACTTCAGGAACCCATCCTTCCTTGGCCCTGGGCTCTTAGGTTAGAGACTGCCCTATCCTAAACCTCATTTGCTTTAACATGGGATGTTCTGGGGGACACACAGTTTGTTATAACAAAGATTACAGTTGTTGTTTGCTTCTCTCAAGGCCCAAGGTTCACACTTACTTGACCAAACCAGCTGTCTTGCCCTGGGACACAGCCTTTTCATATTGCTTCTGGGCAACTTCCTTCTCCTTGATGTTCCCAGGGTAGGTGACACCATCAATGGTCCTACAGACAGTTTAGGAGAAGGGGCTGTCATGCTGGGCCAAATGCCCCCCCAGGATCTTAGAGCCAGCAGCTATGGTGGTACCTACAAGGTGAAGTTGGTGATAAAGGCTGTCTTGGGCAGTTCCACATCAAAGGAAACCTCCTTGGCTTTGTCTGCACGATTGACAGCCCTTGTGGTGACGACATTGTGGGCAAAGCGGGAGGTCACCTTGCAGCTGATCTTGGTACTGTAGACCTCAATGCCATCAACCACCTGTGGGAGATGTGGGCAGGGGTCACTTGGTGGTGATCAGCCAGACTGCACCCTGGGAAACCTGGTCGTCAGTCTGGCTGCTTCCCTTCCAAATGCTCCCGTGTGGGCTCTGAAGTTCCTTAGTTCTCCCAGTCATCCACACTGGAGGTCTGGACAGTGTCCTCTGTCCCACATTCAGTTGGCTACCACAGTGCTTGTGCCATTTGTCCTTAATCTAATCTGCAGACAGCTACATATCACATAAAAGCTGTGCTCAGACCCAGCCCCTCTTCCAAAGAAAGCCTTCCCAGGGCTCTCCTTTGCCCTAGCCCTAGACTCCCCCTTGAAGAGTCCCAATTCTCCACACGGATCTTGTATCACACTGCTGGGATGGGGCCATAGCTGTTTTATGGCTCTGGGGGATGCTCCCATTGTGATCTGTACCTTCAGCAAGTGAGGGGCTGCTCCATTTTGCCCCTCCCCCCCACCCAGTGTGTATCTTACTGGAAGTCCTTACCCCTTCTGGGAGGCTCCGTTTCTGTAAATATAAAGATCAATAGAGAGGTCAGGACGAGCATGAGGCTACCAATGACCTGGGGGCAGGTTCTGGGATAGGGCCAGGTCTCAGAGACACAGGACTCTCCAGGCCCTATGGAGAAGGACATAGAACTAACCCTGCCCTGTCTCATGCTCCATGTGCCCCCGACTCACTCAGCTTCTCCATCTGCCCTGGTCCCTTTAGTTAGCTTCCCAATACACCCACCCACTCATCAGGCTCAATTTAGGGTTTTTTAGTGGCTTCTGCACCTGCTCTGTGCCTGTCTAATATGGGCCATTATAGATGGCAGTGAGACGCTCACAATTTATCACCCATTTGACAGGTGGGGAAACTGAGGCCTGAGAGTTTGAAAAGCTCTGCTCTGGGGTAAAGAGCAAACTAGCTCCATTCTCTAGAGTCCATTCTCTCTTGTCCTAGGAGCACAAGGTCCAGTCCTCAGCCTCCTCCCCTACCCCTCCACCTCCGCTCAGGAAGGACTTTTCTGTCATTTGACCCTCAAAGTTCTGATATCAAATAGGAAGTTAGACTCACCCCTAGCAGCCGGAGGGGGCTTCTTGGAAAGCCAGAGGTCTCCAAGCCAGAGAGCAGGGCCAAAACAAGGCAGGGCCACCACATAGTCACCATTGCTGGGCACACAGGCTGGCCTGCTTTCCTTATATACACCAGCCCAGTGTTTTCCAGGCAGGGTCAATGACCTGCAGCATGGGGCCAGAGCAGCAGAGGCACACAGCGGCTCCAGGAACTGGGGGTGGGTGGAGTAACCACCCAGTGTGACTGAATGAAGAGGGCCCAGTGGGTACAATAAACAGTGTTGGGCTTTCACTCCTGATGTGCTGGAGTCTGGAGGCGTCAGCAAGGCAGACACTGTGAGACAAGTGACCCCCGGTGGATGATGAAGATGGTGAGCTGCATGCAGAGTAGCTGGCTTCTCCACATCTAGGGCTCAGTGCTTTTGTCCTTACCACCCACATTGCCCCAGCTCCAGCCCTCATAAGACAGTCACTCTCCAGCTAGACCCCCATGGCTGAGCCCTTTGCTTCATTCCCTGAAGTGGCTGCCAGGGACCAATGAACTGGACAAGTCCTCAGCCCTGGAGCCTAGCTTGCTCTGGGACCTGACTCCAAAATGTTTTTCTGAGTTTACTCTCCCCCCAGGGCTCCTCCCTCTGCCTGCCCAAGGGCCTTGGCTCCCTCTTCCTTATTAGACAAGAGGTGCTTTTAATTAAAAAAAAAAAATCATCTCTGGATGACTCTGAGACTATCAAGTCCTAGTCTTGTGGCTATTCACAGCATGATGGCTTATTTAGTTTTTAAGAGTGTATTTCATTTTAATTATGTGTATGTGTGTATTTGTCTTCATGGGGGTATGTGCCTGTCCCTGTCATATGTGCTGGGAGACAGGCTCAGGTCCTCTGCAAGAGCAGTACACGTTCTTAAGCAATGAGCTCTTTCCCGGGTCCCAGCAGGCTCTCTGGATTCCATCCTGTTATGTTGTGCTGAGGTTTATGTGATCAGGTCTCATGTTCCCTTCCTGGACAGGACAGGCCTGGCTATGCTTACTCTGTGCCCCAGGACCCTACCAGGGTCTTGGCACTTCAGAAAATAGCAGTCTTTGTGCATGAGGGCTGAGACCTCCTGAGCCACACCAGGGTCCTGCTAGCCTCTTGCATCTTTGGGGCACACACCACATGCCTACCATGCCATGACTTTGTTTCTGGGAACCCTCCATATGCTGAGTGGAGCAGATCCCTGTCTACCTGGGCTGAGATCAGCTACCTCAGGGATGTTACCATGTCCTTAGTCAAAAGCCTTAGGCCTGCCTACCAGATGTGCAGAGCTCTGGCTACAGAGAGAGATGACTAAAAGCAGAAACTGAGAGGAAGAATAAGCTACAGAAAGACCAATGACTGGGAGAGGCTGGAGACTCAGAGCAATGACAGAGTGACAGAGCTACCAAGTCAGCAAAGATGGTGGGGTGACAGGGGCCACTGCTGGACCCCACTGAGTAGCACCTGTCCTTAAACAATCACCAATAGCTGGGGGTGGAGAAAAGACCTCTAAAAACCAAGTCTTTCTTGGCTCTGGGGATGTCCCAGACCACTTTCAGCACCTGCTAGCCACTAGCGGTTGGGGTTGAAGCAAACCTGTTCCTCAGGACTCCTCCTCAGCGCCCACAGCTTCCTATACAGCCTTTCCCTGACTCTTCCATTTGAATCACTGCCCCCACCATGCTTGGAGTTTGGGGAAAGTGACAACTCAAAATAGGAATTTTAGAGCTGCTTCTGAAAGACAGCCAGAGTTTTGGAGAAACCCAGAATCATGCAGAATTAGAATTTTATATTTCTAGGCTTATCCCTTGCCCATTCCTCAGGAGGGGAAGATGAGTAGGTTGACCCAGCCAGTTGGCAGCCCTGCTTTCCCAGAATGCCTTTGGAGATAAAGTGATGATTTCTCAGCTTCTAGTGACACCCCCTGCTCTTGCTGTTGAAGGACTCTGTTCCCCAACCTGGGGTAGTCTTTGAGCTCAACATCTATGATGGCTAATACTGTGAACTTGACAAGATCTAGGGTCAGGGAAGAGACAAGCTTCTGGGAGTACTTGTCAAGGATTATCTAGATTAGGTAGTTGAGGTGGGGAGATCCACATTAGATGTGGACAAACCATTCCATGGACTGGGATCCTAGACTGAATAAAAAGAAAATAAGTTGAGCACAGAGCTCATCGCTCACTCCTTCCTGACTCTGGATGCAATTGGACCAGCCACCTCCTACTCCTGCTTTTAGCCATCCCTGACCCTAAACTGTTTCTCCTTGAGCTGTAATCTAAATAAACCCTTTCTGCCTTAAGTTGCTTTTGTCGGGAAATTTTTATCACAGTGAAGGGTTTAAAACTTTCCCACTTTTGAAACTGAATTTAGGTTTTAGTTTTCTGAGAGGGGCAAACAGGTTTCTCTCCCAACAAAGAGCCATTTATCAACAAATTACATTCAGAGATGAGGGAGAGAGCAGGAACAAGGCCTGAGTCAGCCCCAGGATGTCTCAAGGACAGTTCCCACAACCCCTTTGAAACATACTTGGGTAAGTATGTTCAAAGATAAAACCTCAGCAGCCAATTAAAAATGTACTAATGTAACTGCTGCTTGTTTAACCAGTCATATTTGAGACGGCCTACCTGCTCCTGAAAGTCCCCCTGGCTGTGCTTAAAGGGAGCCTGCACACTCCTCTCAGGGCTGTTGCCATTTTATACAGGCGAACGACTTTTGCATATGCTGGTAAATACTCTTTGTTCCTACATACTATTTGAAATTGGGGTCTTCCTTCAGCATTTCCTTGGACTCCTACACCAGAAACTGTTGTGTGACAGACTTTTCCTGAGGAGACACCACACACACACACACACACACACACACACACACACAGTGAGAGAGAGAGAGAGAGAGAGAGAGAGAGAGAGAGAGAGAGAGAGAATCCACATAGTCCAGATAGATAGCCCATGAACTACTATGAAGTTCAACTTGGTGAACCAATGAGTTTTACTAGGGTTACTATAGGAGCAGAAATGACTCAATGACAGCTGTATCACCAAGCACACCTTGGCTTTGGTGGCAGCTCACAAAAGCTAGAAACCTGGAGCATGCGCATAGCCTGAAGGTAGATCAACAGCTTGGAGAGTACCATTTTCCAGTGGTTCAGCTGGTCTCTGCTTCTTCCAGACTGCTTGTCTTGTCTAAAAGTGACTCTAGATAGCCTCTACCGTTCATACGCTATCATAGTTAGAATGGGAATGGCCCCCATAGGCTCATACATTTGAATGCTTAGTCACCAGGGACTGGAACTGTGTGAGGATTAGAAGGTGTGACCTTGTTGGAGGAAGTGTGTCACTGGAGGTGGGCTTCGATGTTTTAAAAGCCCACACCAGGGCCTCTGAATCTCCCTTTCTCTTTCTGCTGCCTATGGATCAGAATGTAACACTCTCAAATACTGCTCCAATGCCATGCCTGACTATTTCCGCATGATGATCATGGATGCAAGCCCCCAATTAAATGTTATCTTTTATGAGTAGCCTTGGTCATGGTGTCTCCTCACAAAAACAGAATAGTAACTATGACACATACTCTTGGAAAAGGAGGGCCCTAGTAAATCCAGTCAGTTTCAGGGACTTCCGGAAGCTATTTTGAATTGTTTACTTCTGATCTTAATGAGCTTCCCTGCAGAATACAATGTTTCAATCTCAGAGGAATTGTTACACAACATTCAACTATGTGGAACTGTTTTTGCAGATGTGAACAGATGAAGGACTGTAGAAGATGGAGAGTTTTCTACCATGTTTCCAGAGAGCTATTGCTGTGTGTCAGATCAGAGTACAGTGTGGCAGGGTCAGAATTCCTGCAAGGAGACCCCAAGAAACCACTCTGAAGCTCTGTGGGCAAAGCCTAAGTTGCAATGGAGAGTCCAGGATATGAGAACTGCCAAAACCATGGAAATCTGCATGTATGGGGTGGGTCTGACTCAAGGGGGAGGATGTGTATGCTGCAGCCCATAAAGCTGGAGAGACATGGCTGCCTAGATCCTTCCCAGATAATTCCACTTGATTTCTCAGCTGCCAAACATGGGCTCCAGGATTTCGTGTTTTTCCTGCTGAGTTTCAGTCTTGCTTTGGCTCAGTAATTTCTTATTATTACCCCATTCTCCCCATTCTGGAATAGGAATGTTTATTCTATTCCATCAACTGCTAGGAGTGCATGGCTTATTTTTTATTTTATAGGTGCACATGGTCAAGAGGTTGCCTTGAGTCTTGGAAAAGTTTTTGGACTGTGAAATAGTGTTGATACTGTTAAAGACTGGGGACTTTTGAAGTTGAACTGAGTGCATTTTGCATTGAGATGGCCACGAGCTTATTGGGACAAAGGAGAGGAAGTTTACATGTTAAGAGTGATAAATTTTGGTGCCAAGTTGGCAGGGGATGAACTTGTCACAATTCTGATTGTGGGTCTGACAGCATCTAGAGTCACTGAAGAGACGAGCCTCTGGGAATGCCTGTGATATAATATCCAGATTAGGTTAGCCTCTGGGCATGCCTATGAAGGATTATCTATATTAGGTAAACTGGAGAGGAAAGTCCTACTTTAAATTGGGTGGGACTATTCCATTGGCTGGGTTTCTCAACTAAATAAAAAGGAAAAGTGAGATGAATCAAGCATTCTTCACCTGGCTTTCTGATTGTGGATACCTTCTGCTTCTTGTCATCAATGCCTTCTCTGCTAGGATGGATTGTATCTCTTGGAACTGTACGCCAAAATAAAATTTCCTTTCTTAAAATTATTTTGTCACAGTAATAAGCACATAATTCAATATCCATGTTACTCAAAACCAAGCTTTGTCCAATCTGGGTCTCCATGAGTTTTGTTTGTCATGGGGACTGGAGAGAAGACATATGAGAAAGGGGCAGAAACTCTTAACCAGAGTGAGCAGAGGCCCATCACACCTGCATGAAACGCAAACTGCTCCCCAAAGTGGAGCTCTGTGCTCTATGGTTTTCTTTTTTACGGAGTCCTAAGACCAACCCAAGGAAAGGGGCCTTACCAGAACAATTTTAGAGATTATGAGGAAACAATGGGGTGTTGTTGTAGGCGCCTGAAACCCCAGCTTTAGCCAGTCACTGTCTCATCCTAGAGCTATACCATAGCAGTCTGGCTAC